AAAAACCAGCAGAAAGGGAAGATAAAATAACTATGAGATTGTACCACAAAAAAAAAAAAAAAAAACCTATGACTATGAGTTCGGATTTCAAATCTCTTCGAGAACCATTTCAATATATTAAAATTTTGAAGATAAACAAATGCATCAAGAAGCACGTTTTAGGACTACATGTAAACACGAATTGATTATGTCGGACAGCTATTAGTCAATAATTAGGTTTTTGCGCGTATTTTTTTAGTATGACTCTTAGCACTCAAATGATTGTAGTTTCCATTTGAAAGCAAGGAAAAAGATAGAAAATGCCACATTGCCACTGAACTTGGGCTACTCACATCGACGCACCACATATCAAAACGAATTAATTGCTGTCGTAGATGCATGGGTCGAATCATGTTAATGATCAATCTAACGACGAGCATGGGTCGAATATTAGAGGTAAGGATCTCTTGTACTACAATTTTACAATACTTTTGAAACCACCATATAAAATTTATCATATTTTTATATACTTCCTCCGTTCTAAAATTATTGTCCAATTTGCCAAAAAAATTTTATCCCAAAATTATTGTCTAATTTAACTTTTTAAGAGATAAAATACGTTTATACCCCTGAACGCTACGCTCCAGCGGCTTTAAGCGGCCGCGTGAGGTGGCTAGGTGATTGAGCTTGCCAAAATTCGACTCCGTTCTTTGTCTACGAACAGCAATCTAAACGTAATACTTTTAAAAACATTATTCATGTAATTGGAGTGAGATGGAGCTACCGGATCGAAGCATCTTCTTCAGATCCGTCGCCGTGGATAACATACAATGATATGCACATTAATACTTCCTGATTTTCCTCTAACGATGGCCAGATTCATCGCCGCCGAGAATGGAGTCATGCCTTTGATGATGATACGCAGATTGAAAGCAAAGTAACTTTATCAAGATGCATTCTTGATTTTTCCAAACCTTTCCGATCAATATAAAATTTTCCGGCAGTAAAATCAATTATGTATGTAGGGGAATATTTGGAAGCTTATGTCAAAATTAAGTTAAGTTTGACAAAAAATAAAATCTTGTATGTTAGAAAAACTGGACAATAATTTTGGGACGAAGGGAGTACAATAATTACTTTTGTTTTTAGAAATTTTACTAGCACCCTAACCCACCGTTAAGTGAACATGTGGGGACCATATATCAAAATTTTAGTGAGTGATGTAGTAAGTGGTGTAGGATTATGATGTAAGAGGTTTTTTTACCGAATCTCAGGATGAATATGTATCGATAATAGAAAAATACTTCATCCATCCTAGAAAAATAGCCTACAAATTTTAAAACTTAATGCATACTATTTTTTTCTTTTTGAAATAGAGAAAACTTATTAGTAGATTTTCATTTTGTTGATAAAACTTACTCAGGACAGGACAATCATAACTTCAGAGTTCAGACAAGTTAGAGAAAACAATGTCAAATTTTTTTTATATCATTTGAGGGGCAAAAAGTTCATTTTGAAATGTGAAACAAAAAAAAAAAAAACAACTTTTAATTCACCTTTCCCTTTTATGAGGACCATGGTCTAAATGGAATTTTGTTATTTAAAATTCGACAATAGAGATATCGATTTAGACAAAAGGGAAATGAGGAAGCATTATCATCATTATGGTCCCCTTAACTGATTGTCACTCAGTAAATGAAATTTTTGAATGAGTATATATATATATATATATATATATATATATATATATATATATATATATATAAAAGGGGATATGCGGCATGTGATTAATTCGTCCACGATTCAACTCGATCTATATATACATACATCATAGTACTAATTGGACCATCTTTGATGGTGAAATATTGTATCCTCAATTGAATGAATGTATAACCGTGGTTAGGTTTTAACTATAGCTGGGGTTACCCTGAACAATTAAGCTATATCGAGTGCAAAAAAATCGTTGATTCACACAATACGCGATAATAGATCACTACTTTACCCTCAATTGTTGAGGCTTTTCAAAACAAAGTTAGCTAGCTGCCTATAGTATATAACTAGAACATTTAGAATAAAAGCAGTCACAATGTGTTTTTCCATGTTAACAAATTCATTAAATTTTACTAATAGTCTAATTTATTATATTACTCCCTCCATCCCACAAAAATAGTCCAGTTTGAAAATGTACGACTTTTTTAATTTGGTCAACATACCAAATGTACAACTCATTTTATGCCTCTAATTTACACTAATGTCCCTTCTAATTATTTCTATAAAAGTTAACTACATATGCATTTATTTTACAACTTAAATTTGATCAAAATTTTTATCTCAAAAATATTGACAATGGATCTGGATGGAAAGATCTTGTTACGTACATTAATTTGATATATAATATATTTTTTAATTATTCATGTATTAAAAGATATAATCATTTGAAAAAATGAGAGAAAATTAAAAAAAATAAAAATCAAAGGAAATGGATATTGTTTTCCTTACCACTACTCTTTTATATTCAAGTTATTTTAATTCAATTAATTTTGACTTCTGTGAAACTGGACTATTTTTTTGAGACAATCTTTTTTATTAAACTAGAATATTTTTGTGGGACGGAAGGAGTATTATTATTTTAATTTAGCCAAATATAATATTAAAATGAGACAATGAAATAATTAGGAATCAATAGGAAATTTAGATGTTGTTTGACCTAGCAAATTACTCAAAATCTAAATGTTGTAACATTACTCTTGCCTCGTTGATATTGCTTCACTAATTAACTACTTAGATCACTGAAAAATTAAAACAAAAACCAACAAAAATAAATATGAAAGAACACATAAAATCAAAATTTTCATGATTTGCTTAATGGTTTATAGGTGTTCTTCTTTCTCAAGAAAGTTTTATGAGTATTAACCTAAAAGCGTGATATCCAAAAAAAGAAACTCACTTTACTATATTTTATTATCTTAATTCAACTAAATAGACTATTATGTTTTAGAAAAACACAATTACCTCTGCAATTTGATCGCTCCTACCGTTGACTCCTTCATTTACTCTTTTTTTGGTTTTTTTCCCCTTCTCATTCAAGTCAGGTTGAACTCTTGAATTTTCAAGTTATAGTATATATATGTATCAAGCCGCATTGATATAAAGTCGGACTAAATCCAAATCTGGGGTTGGCATGATCTAAGTCAGATCTTCAAAAGTTGAAACGATCGAACAATGATGTAAAATATTCTCAAATGAAAGTAACAACTCTCTACTTTTCATACCTTCTGCATGTTACTTAGTGGGTTGAAGTCACTATGAATAATGCACAACTGCCATTGTGGATATAAGTACTTCGAGCATCATCCCGTAGAGTTATATCCACAAAGTTCACTATACAAACGCCAAATATCGGTAGCAAAATTATCCAGTTAATTAATTAGTTATGTATATATTCATGTGGAAAGCAATCTTTTGATGGTTTTTTTTTTTTCCCTTTCGTATTGCCAAGCACGCTTCAAAAGTGGGCAGTTTTCTCATTAGAGGTAACATCAAACGATTGTAGAGACTTTAAGTTGTAAGAGTTTCGTTTAAAAATGAAAATAAAAATTGAGAGACTAAAAAAAAAATGCAATATCCTTTTTGCATGCAATAAGTGTAGTTTGGCGAGTTAACTGAAACAATGTTGTTCTTTACCGATGCGAAATGATGAATTCTCCTACTTTCTCAAAGTAAACACCAATTTCAGACCTTGAAGTCTTTAAGACTTAATAGTTTTTTTTTTATAACGCCGGGAACCCACCAGATATAAGTAAATCCACGCTCACTGCAATAGCCAGCCAGCAAACCACAGTGGGAGTTAAACCACCCTAGGCATGTCTAGAGTGATAAGCTCGGGTGCGAAATCGAAGATTCATTCGTGGGTTAGTCATAACAAGCCCCTAGAGGTGTCAATGGGTAAAGTGAGAGCCAATCTCTTACTTTTTGTTGAAGTGGAGCTGCAATAGCCAGCAAACCACAGTGGGGGGTAGTTTACCCTAGACATGCCTAGGATGATAAGCTTGGGTGCGAAATCGAAGATTTATTAGTGAGTTAGCTATAACAAACCCCTAGAGGTGTCAATGGGCAAGGTGAAAGCCAACCGAGCCAACATCTCACTTTTTGTTGGAGTGGGGGATTGAACTCATGACCTCCTCTTGGAGTGAGGGTGGTGTTACCACTGAACCAATTCCTCCTTGGCAAGACTTAATAGTTAATATAGACTTTTATCCTTTTACTCACTCATTCTTACTACAAGATGATGCCAAACTCTTAGTTTGAACATTGTGACTTTTTGAGTTTGAACAGATTAATCACAAAAGAATGGCTTGGAGTGAAGTGTTATATAATAACTGGTAGAATCAAAAAGCCCAAAAAGATATCGTATTAATCATCATTGTGTGAGTTGATGAAGTCCAAAAGGCAAACATCAAACTAGCTTCGTGTTCATGTACACGAGTAGGTTCGACGGCTAGAAGAGTAAAAACAAAAAAGTATGGTAATGAATATTTTAAGAACCTGCCAAATTTTTCCCCACAAAAACTTAAAAGTCAAATTAGGCCCACAAAATAAAAACAGCTCGAAATGGACCATACATTTGATATCAACAAGGAAAATTTCCTTCAAGGGCGTTCAAATTAAAAAAATATATATGACTAAATGGGCGTAAACTGTTGCCCTAATCCACCGTTATTGGATTCCAACTTGTCTTAAGCGGGTATATATTATATTCAAACTAACACTTACATGAATAAATAGAAATCGCTCTAAACATAAAAATATCTCTTTACATTACGTGTTAAATTTTAGATACGTACTGAATCACCAAAGAATAAAATGCAAGTCATTTGCAACAAGATCTATACTTTCATTGATAAATAACCACATAATTTTGATAAAAAATTCCACAAAAACAAACAAAAGGAAGTGCATTTGAAGTCGGAGATACAACAGCAACATAAATTGATTAATGAAAGTGACTAAAAAAAACATAGGAGAAGATATGAACCAAAAATCAAATAACAATTTGCTTCCAATCATTTTGGTACCATACTATCTCAAGTCGCACTTTGAATCTTGTATGGTCACTTACAAATGTAAACGCACTGACTTCTCACGACTTAACTGTCCAATTGAAATGTTGAATTAGACCCTCATCAACTAGCTCACCTATGATGCATGCTTGAACTTCCCTTCCCTTTCCCTCTATATAAATGATCATCTCCCCTGCTTCATCAGCCATGATACTACTTTTTTCTGCTCTTTAATTAGTAAAAAGGGTTTGAAAAGGGCAAAAAAAAAAAAAAAATCATTTTCTAGCAGAAAAGAAACCATGAAGAATAATGATCAGGTACAAAAAGCTCCAAAGCCAGAGCCCAAATACAGGGGAATTAAAGCTATGCCCTTTGTCATAGGTAAGTAGTTCATGTTGTTCGTTTTTTCGTTTTTTAAGGGGAAAAAAAATGCCATTTTTTAGATGTTTTTGTGACGAATTTTTGTTTGATATAATCATACAGGAAATGAAACGTTTGAGAAGCTTGGTACAATTGGAACCTCATCCAATCTATTGGTTTATTTAACCACTGTTTTTCACATGAATTCCATCACTGCGACTAATGTTGTCAATGTCTTCAATGGTACTTGTGGTTTTGGTACTTTGGTTGGAGCTTTTCTTTCCGACACTTACTTCGGCCGATACAATATGCTCGGATTCGCTTCAATTTCTTCTTTCCTGGTACGCATTTTGATCTCCGAAAAACCAAAATCAAACAAAAAAAAACCCTGTCCGTACAGACTTTTAAAAAATAGTCTGCTCTGTTTTTTCCAACTTTCAGGGGATGCTCATACTAACACTTACAGCAGCGGTTTCCGGTCTTCACCCGCCGGACTGCACCGGAAACGCCACCAAATGTGTCGGAGCAACGCCGTGGCAGATTACATTTCTGTTCAGCGCATTCGGGTTGTTGATCATCGGGGCAAGTGGAATCAGGCCCTGTAACTTAGCCTTTGGAGCAGATCAATTCAACCCGAAAACCGATTTCGGCCGAAGAGGGATCAACAGTTTCTTCAATTGGTATTACCTGACGTACACTTTCGCCATGATGGTGTCGTTGACGGTCATCGTGTACGTACAATCGAATGCCAGCTGGTCAATCGGTTTGGCGATTCCGACGTTTCTGATGTTCTTGTCCACTGCTGTGTTCTTTCTGGGTACGAGGATTTATGTCATAGTTTTGCCCGAAGGAAGCCCTTTGGTTGGTGTGGCTCAGGTTGTGGTTTCCGCCTTTAAAAAGAGGAAATTGAAGCTGCCGGAAGTTCCTGAGATCTCTCTGTTTAACTATTTCTCTGCTGACAGTACTATCAATGCAAGGCTTCGTTTTACACATCAGTTCAGGTAAACATTTAGGAACTCAAGGTTCTTTGCACAATTTTTTTTTTTTTTTTTGGAATTAAAAATTTACTTCTCAAATAGTTGACTAACCCTTGAAGTATCCATGACATGAAATTAAACTATATTCAAGGAGTAACATAATAAATCTTAATATCTAGCGATACCATTAATTTACTGATTTTGAAAACAAGTACCATCTAAACGAATTTTATATTTAGATTTTAATAATATTATATTTCGTCGCCCAAATAACTGATCAGTTACTTATTACAACTAAAAAAGAATACATATTGAATACATTCTGTTTAATCCCTTGATTTTCTTAAAAAAAAAATTAAGAAAATTTATGTTGATTTTAGAAATGGATACCAATAAACAACTCATTTTCCCGAATATTTTGTCTGATGTTAAACAACTCATTTTTTTTGTTTTGTTTTGTTTTGTTAATTCGAGGAAATGGACAAACCAATAATAGATCATTGTCCAGAAGCATGAATAAACTTTTGTACCCATGATTTCCCTTGGCTTCATGGTGGGCATGAGAGCACAAGAGCCAATCTACAAGTCAAATTTGTGATAAAGTATGGAGAGAAAATAAAGCAATTTGATGGCTGGCTGAAAGGGTTTTTTTTTTTAACAAAAAAGAAAAAATTGTTTATTTTTTCTCTATATTTATGAAAATTTTAATAATTTATTATTGAAACGGGTCAAAATGAGATATTATTGGTTTGACAAGAAAGGTCTGTGTAGATAATGATATGAGGTTGAAAATTAATGATTAAATTGACTTGACACTGGAATAATTAAGGATTGCATCAACATTTTCTCCACATGACAGATGATCCTTACTCATTTAACCCCTTCAATTTGATAATCTTGTTTATTAGGCCTTTAGCATGTGAAAGTTTCCTTACCTCCTTTTGGTCGACAATGCTCCTGTGGCTGTGGATTTTTTTTTTTTTGGATAAAGGGGCTGTGAATCTTGCTAAATGCCAAAAAACCAATTTTCTAGGAAATAAACGTTTTTTTTTCCCTCCTCTATGAACTTGTTATATTGTTTTAGTTCAATAGTGTGATTTTATTGTTAGGGCTGCAGTTTGTTAATGTTTTTTTCACCAACAATACCTTTATTTCCATTCATGCAATATTCTGTCTCTAATAGCATTTGAACAAAGAATTAAGAAAGATCAATCAAAACTAAGAAAAAGAGAAGTCCTCTCCTCTTTCAAGTTAAAGACTAGACTATGCTGTAAAATTAAAGGGATTACAAGGGTACATGATTCCATGACAAAAGTTAATTGCTAATGTATAATTTTCCGTGTGAATACAGGTTCCTCAACAAAGCAGCAATTATAACACCTGAAGACGAAATCAACACCGACGGACTAGCAGCAAACCGATGGAGACTTAGCACAATTCAGAACGTGGAGGAAGTAAAATGCTTAATAAAAGTAATCCCTATATGGATAGCCGGCATTATCTACTTCATTTCAGTTGTTCAAGCCCAAAACTATGTCGTGTTCCAAGCACTTCAGTCCGACAGGCACGTTGGACCTGGCAACTTCGAGATCCCTGCAGCTTCCTACATCATTTTCGCAATGTTAACCCTAACTATATGGATCCCAGTTTTCGACAGGCTTATTGTACCATGGCTAAGAAGAAAAACAGGAAAAGAAGGCGGTCTTACCATCTTGCAAAGGATGGGGATTGGAATGACATTGTCAATTCTCACAATGGTCACGTGCGGATTGGTTGAGGATAAGCGAAGGATCATCGCACTCACTCGCCCGACAATAGGATTTAATGCCAGAAAAGGAGCAATTTCATCCATGTCGGGTTTTTGGCTAGTTCCACAACTAGTCTTATCAGGGCTCACAGAGGGCTTCACAGTTATCGGCTTGAACGAATTTTTCTACCAACAGTGTCCTGAAAACATGAGGAGCATGGCTATGGCTTTTATTTTTGTTGGCTTTGCTCTATCCAGTTACTTAAGCAGTGGGATAAGTTCAATAGTGCTAAGTATAACAAGGGGGAAAAATGGAGAAAGCTGGTTAGCTGAAGATCTAAACAAGGGAAGATTGGATTACTTCTATTATTTGCTCGGAGGGTTGCAACTACTCAATTTGATGTACTTTCTAGTATGTGCAAAGTGGTACAAGTACAAAGACATTGTAGATGACTCCTCTAGTGAAGTAGCTTTGGAGAAATTCCATGCAGAAGAAAAGGCCATCCCTGTTTGAGTATTTGTTGTTACTTCCCAGAAAGAAATACATAAGTTTTCGCAACACAAGTGCCTATACTTATCAGAAAGCAAAGAAGTCTATGCACATAGTGAATTCCTTCAGTAAAATATAAGTATCAACCTGATATGATAAAGTTTTACATTTGATTGCAACCTGGGTAGAAAAAATCATAATTTTATTCAAGTTCTAACTAGAATGAGCAAACCTGCTGTGCAGCAGCTCATCACTAATAAACTTATAAAAGATTATTTCTGGTCGTAACTGCATGAGCTAATCAGTCCCTACTCGATCTACACATGAACATAACAAACCTTCTTTTGCAAAACCCTAAAAGACGGAATTTTCTCATTTCTGGTACTTGGAGGGTATAAAACATAGACAGGAGAAGATCTTTATAAGAAAATCTGATAGAGTAGGGGGCATGCGAAGAAACAAGAAGAGAAGGGAGCAGGGGATGTCTAACATTAATAACAAACCATGCCAACAATATCAACACAAGCATCTTATGCATCGATCATAAAGTGACACCTTCAATGTCTCATTTTAATATTCCAATTTATTGAACTAAAACAGTAAAAACAAAGTGGATTATCAAAAAGGGACGGATGATATAATTTTGTTCCGTGAAACAGAGTGAAGCCATCAGACAATGGTTCCAGACTTCCATCAACTTATTCTAACTAATACAGAGTCAAATCATGAGCTATCTACTTCGAAAAGCAGGGGACTTGATACTGAGTTACCAGTGAACTGTAACAAACAAACATCAAAATTGAACACTTGGATCACAGATGGTCACAGTGCTTTTCTTTTCCTTTCTAATTTCTAGTCATTATCAGTTATATTTGATAGAAACCAGATAGCAAAAGCAAATATGACGTATTTTGCTTCAACCAAGATCAAGCTAGAAATATATGTAATATACAATAACAGAAGAAGGTAGAATTAGTGAATTACTCAACAGTGTTTAAAATGCAGGAGACTTGATGCTGAGTAACAGTGCAATGTAACAAACACAAATTAAATTGAACACTTGGATTAAAAAAAGTCACAAACTCAACTCTGTCACGTGCTTAATTTTATTAATTTCTAATTTGTACTCACTATTAGTTATACTCGGAAAAACCAGATAGCAAAAGAAAATAGAATGTATTTTGCTTCAACCAAGATCAAGCTAGAAATATGTATAATATACAATAACAGAAGATGGCAGAATTAGTGAATTATTCGACAGTCTTTAATAGTCCCAAGCTGAAAATAGGAAAAGCTGATAAACTTCAGCTCTTCAACTTTGACGAATTTAAACTAAACTATCACTCCTGCAGTCATACTAGCTCCTAGATGCCCAGAAACAACCAAATGACACTTCTAGCTCCTGGATGCCCAGAAACAACCAAATGACACTTTGCAAAGTTTTTGGTTAAAGGTTTGCCAAAATTTCTTTGCACCAACAAAGGAGGCTTGAACTAAGCTTTCCACATAATTATCTACTTGGGAAAGCTTGTCAGAGATACTTGCATAACCTTTCACATAATCCACATTTCTTGAATCTCTGGGTCATAAACAACAAGGTTTGTCTCCATTCTCTTCTTTATCAATATAACCAAAAATATTCCTACCTGCAGTGACAGCAGGTCGTAGTAGTGATAGGCCCAAACCCAAACTATTTAGTATGTAAAATTGTTTCACCCGTACATTGACCGGATGGTCCCATAAAATCGCATATTGCAAGGAACTAATGTTAGAATATCAGCCTAGAACCACCTCACTCAATCGTTGCAAGTAAGGAACCACTGTAATCATAGTTCCCAACCAAGTGAACATAGAAAAACGCAAGACTGGCCTTTTTCAGCGCTACCATCCTACAGAAACCTCTTGTGAATTAAACAAATTTCAAAAGGTGACAAAATATTACAGATACCAATGGGTGTCTGAGCATACAGGACCAAGGCTATATACTTACTACTACCACATGAAAAAGGGTTTTTTTTTTTTTTAAGGTAAAAAATTTCATTGGATGTAAGCATGAATGAGTTCTTTAAGCTGAAAATTTCTAACTTGAAGGATCTCGCCGGTGGGTGATTGGTGAGTGTGAAAATTTGATCACTATGTAAAATCCTGGGCTCACAGAATCGTACCCAAAACCAACAGCAGGGGGTAAGAAAACCAAAACATACACTATGGAGGCAACAAAATCCATTGCCCACAAAGCATGGTTCCACAAGTAAAATTTTTAGTCGGAATTACAGTGACAATTTTTAATCAAGCAAAAAACATCCCATCCGAACACAACTTACTAACCGAATTCGGCTGCAGAGAAAGACTGAATTCTGGCCCTTGTTGCCACCATCAAGGTCACCGTTGCAAATCGAGTAGCCGCAGCCACAGTAGACGGAGTCCTGATCCAAGACGGCGGTGTAAATTATCAATACAGACTCTTCTGGGTGGTTCCACCGGCCGGATTTTGGAGATGAGACACAGCAAAGTTCCTTCTTTTCTTTGAGAACATGAAAGTGTACAATGGTTTGCTCACATAAGACAATCTAACGAGGCTCTTTCACAAGAAGTTGAACTGAAATTCTCTCAGAAATTTCATTCGAAAATTGGGGAACTAGTAAAATATTTGAATTTGATGATTCTGCCACGTTCATCTGCTCCAAAAAGCCGGAATGAATATACTGCTGAGAGCAAATATAAAATTATACTCGATTTACATTTAACCCCGTATGTTTTAGTGTATCAAGTATTTCCCTTTATGTTCTCAGAATGGATATTGTCTCCCATTTAATTTACTGGGAGGCTACTGAAAACCCTAATTTTTTCATTTAAGCATCCTGAAAAATCACAAAAAGACTATTTTACCTTCGCATATTTTTTTTAAAAAAAAATTGGAGGGGACGACGCATTTTTGCACCAGCCTTTCACGGCTGGCGCAGGAGAAACACGCCATCACGGGTGGCGTGCACTTTTCTCGCCACTCTTCTTGGGATGGCGAGCAATTTTTTTGCCCCTTAAAAAGGGGTGGCGCACAAATCATGAGCCACCCCTCCGGCTTGGCGAGCAAACCGCTTGCTAAATCGATTGGGTGGCGGTTCAACCGGCCGTCACTCTTTTTTCAAATTTTTTAATTTATTTATTTTAATTTATTTATTTAATTAATTCTTTAATTTATTTATTTATTTAAGTATATTTATTCATTTGTTTGGCGGTTAAATAAATAATTTTAACTTGAATAAATAATTTTTTAACTTAAATATTTAGAAAATATTGCTTAATTTCGCATAGTAAATTTATTATTTAATTATTTAGAATTTTTTAAACTTAAATAAAAAAAATTAACATTTAATAACAACTAAAACTTATGAATTTACTACCAAAAAAATTATTTATAAATAACTAATAAAAATACACTAATTATTTATATATTAATGAAAAATTATCCTTTACTACCAACTAAAAAATTATCATTCTCTAAATATTTAAATTAAAAAAATTTATTTATCATCGGTGTATCTAGCCGTCCTAAGAATATTTTTTGAAAAAATTTAAAATAAAAATATGAAATATAAAATACGTTGAAATTTCATATTTTTATATTTCATATTTATCATAAAATAAATATAAATTACGAAGAAGAAGAACTATGAGAGAGAGAAAGGATTCGGGTGTATTTTCTTTAATAGGGACTGACCTCTATTTATAGGTAAATAGATACAGAGATAAGATCAATGAATATGGGTTCTAACTAAATATTATCTCTATACATAGAATCCTGATATAACTCTTCTATCTAATGGATATCCACATTATTAATATATTTATAACATTCCCCCTTGGATGTCCATTTCTTAGGATAATGGCTCGATAAAACCGTTACTAGAAAAAATCCAGTGGAAGCCATGTCATCCATAATTGGAAACCCCTCCTTACACAATTTATTTATGTAGTTGTAAACTAGTTTGGAGGTAACATTTTCATCAGGAAATTGTGTCCATATCGCCCGTAAAATGTGAACTGCCTTAGCGCAACTTTAGAATACTCCTCAATGAGCTCTCTCACTTTCGCGCTCAGTCCGCTCCTAATCCGAGGTAGATCTGTCAAAGAATGGTCGTGCATTCCTCACAGACTGGGATATGCACGGATCGTCTACCCATCATATATTTTGTAGACAGTAATCCAAAACTGGCATCCGGTCATCTGTGTCTTCGTATTGGGTCGGGCGCGCATGTTTTCATCCACCTGTTGACCTTGGTACCGGCTTTCTTTATGACAAAGGAGTATAGTACCACTAGTCTTGTGCGAGGATATACTTAACTTCATGTTGTACATATTTGCAATACCTTTTGCATATGCAATAGCTTGAGACTTTTCGGCAAAACTTACAACAAACTAAACACATATTTAACCAAAAAAAAAACTATTTCATACGAACATATTAAACTACAAAACAAATGCTAAAATAAATACATGAATTAAATAAATTAAAAAATTAGTTAAACTAATAAATTAAAATAAATTAATTAATTAATTAATAAATTAAATACATTAAAAAATTAATTAAATAAATAAAAAAAATTGGGTGGCACCGCAGTTAGTGGCGAGGGTTTTGCTCGCCACACCGAGCAGAGGTGGCACCAAAACGGGCGTCACCCCCTTCGCCAGAGGCGAAGTGTTTCTCGCCTCCCTGTAAAGGGAGGCGAGATTATTTCACGCCACCCCGCATAGGGGTGGTGTGTTTCTCCTGCGCCAGCCATGAAAGGCTGGCGCAATTCTCCCTCGACTCCCCCCTCTCCCCTCTTTGAAAAAAATAAAAAATAAAAATTAAGGGTAAAATGATCTTTTAATGTCATTTTAGGGCGCTCAAATGAAAAAATTAGGGCGCTCAGCAGCAACACCCTTTAATTTAACTGTCGCCCAAAAGGGGGAAAAAAAAAAAGAAACAAGAAGCTATTAATAAAGTAGCTATCGATGATAAAAAGAAATTAAAATTGTATTGTACCACGTAATGTAATACTCCATTGTCCCGAAATGATTGTTCAGTTTAAATTTTCACTTTTATTACAATTTGAACTGAAAATAAAAATTCAAAAAATAATCATTTCGATACGGAGGAGTACGCTGTTGATGATGTTATCTTGGGGTCTAAAAATTGTAGTTAGAACACGACATAATCGGTATTTTCTATGCATGCAATATTATAAGTTAACTTCTACATTATGACTCTTTCATTGTATCAAAAGAAAAAGAAAAGAAATTTAGTTATTCATTTATTCTTTATCATTATGATGAATTCCCAAGAATAACTAAACTATTATTTCATAGAAGCCGACCATGCATTTATTAAAGAAATTTAAATTTGAAACATTCACAAAAAGTTTCTTTATAACTATTTATATTTATTTGAAACTATCAAAAATAGTTTTAGGTTATTCTTTTTTATTTTTTTAATTATTTAACTATTTCTAAGACTAAGAGCAACCATAATTGGTTTAATAGAAATAGTTTCAGACTTTAATTTTATTGATTTTTTTTCTCTTTCTTTTAGCTTGTTCATGCAATATTTCTAACCCATCATAACTGATTTTTATCTTGAATAAGTTGGATAAATACAAAAAGAACGTTTCTTTTGTATCTCAACTCGCTAATAGTAGAGAGTTGAATTAGGTGATAACTAACATAAATTTTTAGGCTAGTTAGAGCATCCGCACTGGGTGGTAACTGGCCTGAAAAATTGTGTTAGTTACCACCCCACCCACTTCAAGGAGTTGAAAGATAAAACGACGTGCTTTCTGCTAATACTTGTAAAAGTCCTGAGAAAATTAAATACTGTGGGCCCTTGAACAAGAAAAAAGAGAGGAAGGAAAGAATTAGTTGGTCCACAATTGTTCCCCAATCCGTTAACTTCCATTGGAGAAAATAATGGTTTACTGAAATGGATCATGAAAATCCAATGTGACATGGCTTGGGGCTACTTTTTCACTCACACCACTGGGGTTGCTCTTATTGCCCATTAGGGTTGCTCTAAACCTTTTCTGTCCTTCCAAAACAAACTTGGTTTAACATGATAGAGTGAATACTGATAACCCGAGTGAGTGTTTTATTTATTTATTTTTTAAATGAAAAATGAACCTACATATCACTTGAGAAAAATATAATTCAAAACAAACATGTTGTCTCGGTCATTCTTCCGTCATTTTAAAATTAAAAAAAATAATTCACATTGTTCAATTAGAGCAATCGTAGTGATAATAGTTTTGAAGCGCGTGCCATGTACTATCTTAGTTACTTTTCTCCTATTGCATTTTGTTGAACACACGGCAATATTGCTTTTGTTATTATCTAACGTTTCTCTAAGATTTGGGTCACATGTGTGACATCCTTTGCTTTATTGTAGACTATCCCTTAACATATATATATATATATGTATATATAACCTTTTAATTTGGAAAAAGTGGAGTGGGTAACACCATTGGAGAAGAACTCAAAGCAAATAAAAGTCGGGCAACCTAAATCTGATGTTGACAAAACAGACCACATTTTTAATCACACTCGATAACACTAGTGGGGTTGCTCTTTAAATAGTACTAGTTTGGATCTTCGTGTACCTGATTTATGACGTAATTTATAGAGTGTATGATCATAAAATTCAATAACCAATTCATAAGCATGCGTAGAATTACACAATAACAAAAACAAATTTACATGAAACAAAAAATGAAATCATATATTTTCATAGTCTAAATTAGTTTCATTAGAAATCACATACAACTCATATTTATAAAGGATACTCTAAATATAAACTTATCAACTAAAACAGATCATTTCTACTTACGGAAAAGCCACACAAAATACTAATATAAGAGATATTGTAGATCTGGACAGTAAAATCTAAAACACAATAAGGTTAATTTCACTATTCTAAAGATAATCCAATAAAAGGATAAAAAAAAATGTGAAGTATAAATTTATCAGCTATTTACCTTTTATAGTGGGAGAAGGAAGGATCACTTGGGTTGAGGGTGGCTATTTAGATGAGAAAGAAAATAGAGAGCAGAGGTCAATGCATTTGCTGCCTCTTGGACATTTGACTTTTTGTGCTTATTTAAAGAAAAATTCAACAATAAATTTGCAACGGACACTTTCTCTCTTTTCAATTTTCTTTAAATTTGATAAATCACTAAAACTATTAAATTCATCACTAAAATCTTCGATTTTAAGGTTAAGAATTTGAAGAGACTGGAAATGAACACTCTTTAATTGGTATTAATTAGAATAATAAGCACACGTAATTAATAAATATTAATTAACATTAACTCTCTCTTTTTTTCTTCTTAATCAGTTAAAGAATTACACCAAAATTTTGTCCAAAGTCACTTTATATATATATATATATATGTAGTAGACAATAAAAGTGAATTAATTTTGAACGGCTAATTGAGTATATAAGAGATATTAGAGAGAAAACGAAACCAAACATATTACTTGTATCGACAAAAGAGATGCATTAATTTAGAATATTACAATAGTATGTTATGCATTATCACAAACAAGTTGTAATTTGTAAAGTTGATTCATAGATGGTTGCTTTCTTCTTCTTACACTAGATGTTAAACCTGTGCGATGCACGGGATATGATTTCCTCTCTGTGGTTTCTTACTTAGTATAATATTATAGATTAGATGTTAGACCCGTGCGATGCACGGGATTAATTTTTATCGCCAATGAATAATATTGGTAAAAAATATTAAAAATGTGGAGTACATGTAAATTTATAATTAAATATTTTTACATTACGTGTAATAAATTAAGCCCGTAATCATAAATATAAACCATTTCCTGTGACATGAAACGAAAGAATTTGATGTACCTTAAGGCAGTGAAGGAAAAAAAGGAAAAAGAAGTAATTTTAAGTAGTATATGAATGAAAGTAATTAAAACGCAAATGTAATTAAAATTAACTAAATCAAAGTTTTAAATTGCAATGATAGTTTGTACAAACTTAATAATGTATATTGGGTTTTAGTATTACTTTAGTTCAATAACTCAAAGTAAATTATTTTTTTACTAATAAAGAAGTTTATAATTACAAATTCAAATAACCTACTATAAAATGAGATTGAGAAAAGATTTACTAATCAAATGGAATTATAGCTAATCATAATAACATCATATAACACATGGAAAGGCTAATCATTAAAATGATAATTTTTGTTATAAATATGTTAAGAGGTCACCAACAAAACCACAAATCCTCATAATTATTTATAGTATAGTATTTTATGATTTTGTTGAAATACAATTGTGTGTATTTGTTATTGTGCATACGTTATGTAATTAAGATATTTAATAATAATTCCATTTCGTTTTAAAAGGATAGCAGATCATTAGTTAACCAATATGTAATGAAAATACGGGTAATATTACAGATTATTTTCTTTCCCCTACCTATTGTTGACGGGTTAAGTTGGTGAATACTAGTCATTTTTAATATGATTCATGTTAAGTACATAATTGAAAGGGACAAATTCAAATGATATTTTGGGATGGACTCAATCGTGCTGGGTTCCGCTCGTGTTGCGCATGAAAGCAATCTTGTAAGGATGCTTGTTTGACTTGTAATTTCCCGTGTTTTCAGCCAAATTAAAGTCGGTGATTTGTTTGGTCTCTTCCTCTCCATCATCAAGAAGAAATTTCCACATGAGATTTTTGTGGACAGAAGCTTGAATCTTTTGACCCTGCCAATTATATTCATATTAAAAAAAACAATTGAAATCATTAGGTATCCGATGATAAAATTATGCCTTAATTTTACTAAGATACACTTTAAAGTTTTATAAACACTAAAATATGTTTGTAACCTGTTCGTCAATAAGCAAAGCTTCGACGGATGTGTTCGCCCCAAAAGTTGCTATCCACACGTTGAGGATTCGAACATTGACTTTCTAGTCAGACTTGACAACCATGGGCGTCAAATCTTTTTATGAAATCGTATGTGTTGTTACTGCTGGAGGTTGACATCGATAGAAGTGCTTGAGGTTGTTTGTACCGACGAAAAGGAGGAATGTGAGTTTTTGATATTGAGCACACGGTTTATGGTTTTCAGTCAACATACATATAATATTTGCATAGAGTGATTTCCCAATCATATCGTACTATATTAGCCGTAATTATGGGATTTGCTGATTTTTTGGGTTTGATAATTAATTGCTGGTATATTAAATTGAGGGGATTATTTTCACAGAGAATGGAAAGCTATAAGAATTACTGAGAATTTTGACATTAATTATTTTTCAATTTCAAAAGATCATAAATATTGGTTAATGTTTGATTCAATATGTGATTGCATCATTCTCGCCAATCGGATTAGTTTTTCAAATCCACCAGATTTTATTAGGAATAAAATCAATATTTACTTTTTTTGGGTGACACGTAATGAAATAAAAAAACATTAATGTAGATTTTTTAATTAATTTCTCATTTTTTTGTTCATCTCACCAAATGCAAAAATAGAAAGTCTACCGCATAATTAATTGATATAATTGATATACTTTAATTACGATTTGATAACACTTGAATAACTTAAAATTCTAAAAACTTTTTTTGTAATTGTTGTAAATATTTTTTACAACCTATAGAAAAATGACACATAAAATTTTGTCCTATGTGTCAACGTGAGAAGAAATTTGATTTCCTCTCTCTGGCTTCTCTCTTAATATAATACTATAGATTATTTTCTTTCCCCTATCCATTGTTGACGGGTTAGGTTGGTGAATACTATGCATTTAGTTTAGATTTGATTTTAAATGGATACTGGCTTGTAAAGGTTTTCTTTCTTAAAATAAAAATAAATAATAAACACTATTGCATTGAAGGGTGAAATTGCCTGTGAGAAAAAGTCAAGGAACGCCAGCAAAAATTTGTGGAAAGTTAGAACCAAAAATATAATTATCGAAATTCAAGAACCAAAAGAAACAATTCCTTGAAAGTATGCGTACTATTTTTGACAACCACATAACAACAAATCACTTAAACCTCACCGCCGTTTTTCTTAAACCTTAGCAATGGCTTAAAGCACAGGTCCAGAACCCCCAAATTCACCGCTTCCTGATTCTCCGATAAACCCTAACAATGGCGATTGATAGTGGAAGCAAACAACAGTCCCACAAGACCCACCGGTCTCGTCAATCCGGTCCTTCTGCTAAAAAGAAGTCAAAATCCCATAAGAAGAACAGGCCCGGCGCCGCCGCCAACGCCGGAGCTGCAGATGGCGACGGTGACGTTGATATGCAAAACAAACGCCAGCATAACCCAAAGGTATTGTTATTATTATTTTCTTCAAGCGTTTAGCTCTATTTCGGTTACATACACGAGTATATATGGGGCAATTAGGTAAACAGAATTTTGAGAAGATAATGTTGAGCTGAGCTTTTAGTTTGATGGTGTAGGCTTTTGCATTTACTTCAACGGTGAAAGCGAAGCGAGCCCAATCTAGGGCAACGGAGAAGGAACAAAGAAGGCTTCATGTGCCGGTAATAGATAGGAGCACGGGAGAGCCAGCTCCGTTTGTTATTGTTGTCCAGGGACCGCCTCAGGTTTGTGTTTCTTTTACATTTGTTACTTTAAGTTCATTTTGTTTGTGACATATATTTTTAACCCATGATTTCATTAGTGTTTCTGTTTTTATTTGCTTGATTTTATCATTTTGGGTAAAAATCATTTGGCTCTTCAATCCCATGTTATATGTATTTTGATTTACTGCTTGAATAATTTTAATTTGGCTTTAGCTGCTACCAAAATTCTTGCTGTGCTCGTATCAATGATTGGTAAGTTTTTTCCGGGAGCTGATCATCTATGTTTTCGGGTTTATCCTGTAGGTGGGGAAGTCGCTAGTGATAAAGTCACTAATAAAGCACTACACGAAACAAAATTTACCGGAAGTACGAGGTCCTATTACCATAGTGTCAGGTTTGTTTTCATGACTTTCTCTGTTCAAATTCGATGGTGCTATGGTTTCATCTCACTAGTGACCTTTATTGGTAAACTTTTGAATGCTCGGATCAAAATCGCATTTTTGGTAATTCACCATCTCCCCCTTGCCTATGGATGGGCTTTTAGGGTTTTGACGAAAGGTGACATAAATTTTGCTACTATAACTTTCAGATATAGAACTTGGCACATTTTGCTTGCAGGTCATTTGATTCAAAATGAATTAGGCTTTATATGAATGTACGTCGAATCATCTGCGAGCAAATAGTTGTACTCCTTGAAATGATTGTCCAGTTTGGATTTTCATTTTTAGTTCAAATCGTACTAAAAGGTAAAATCCAAAGGGGGCAATCATTATGGGACAGAGGAAGTATTAGAGAGGTTGTGGTTCTGTTTAATTATTTCATCATATACTGGTCGTGATTTATGAACTCATGATCTCGTGTTTCCAGAAAGAGAAAAAAAGGCTCCTTGAGATGTTTAAATTGAGTTTTAAGTTTGCTTCAAGATGAAAAAAAACTGATAATCACAAAGGCCCTGAGATTTGTCCAAAAAGATCTTAAATTTCCGAGGCTCAGCACACCCTTAAAATTATATTAGAGTACTTTACAATAGTATCAACCATATTCGCATCTTCTTTGCTTGCCTTGAAAAAGGTCTAATATATGGAGGTAACAGGAAACCTTTTAAGAAAATCCGAGAAACCCATCAGATGAGAACAGTTGATAAGCTGAAGTTGCTATGAGGTCGTGTCAGTATAGTGAAAAGAATTTTATGAATCGTTGGAACTTCTCAAATGAATACATGTTCAAGTTCTTATCATCATTTTTCCAGAAAAACAATTATGTTTGCTCTGTAAGAGCGGAAAGGAAAACCATGCCGTTATTAGTTCTTTTCATCCACTTTATGCATTGTTCAAGAAGCCCTACTGCTACTATGGCCAATTCTGTAACCTATGAAATAGTTTTACGTTTGGGTGGTTTAGTTTAGTGAATGCACTATCTGAGGTTATTTGATTTCTCATGGTCCAGGTAAGCAAAGACGGCTGCAGTTTGTGGAATGTCCTAATGATATTAATGGCATGATTGATGCTGCAAAAATTGCTGATCTAGCTTTGCTTCTTATTGATGGAAGCTATGGTTTCGAAATGGTGAGCTGATTTACTATTCTATTGGTACATCTGCTTTCTTGCAGTACTTTATATTTGATCCAATTCAGAACATCTAGTTGAATTGCAAACTTATTTAGATAGTATACACATTTTTGCACTTGGAAGTTGCAGCACATGCTCGTTTCATCAATTAAGCAACTTTACTAATTGTGTTTAATCTGCTCTTTAATGTAGGAAACTTTTGAATTTCTTAACATAATGCAAAACCATGGATTCCCGAAAGTGATGGGTGTCCTCACGCACTTGGACAAATTCAAGGATGTGAAGAAGCTTAGGAAAACAAAACTACGACTCAAGCATCGTTTTTGGACGGAGATCTATGATGGAGCTAAACTGTTCTATTTATCTGGTCTTATTCATGGAAAGTAAGTACATTCTATTTCTTTGTCAACTGAGTCAGTGGAAACCGTATTTACTATTATGTCTTATGGTGACAGGTATTCAAAGCGTGAGATTCACAACCTTGCACGGTTTATTTCTGTTATGAAGTTTCCACCATTGTCTTGGAGAGTTTCTCATCCGTATGTCTTGGTCGACCGGTTTGAAGATGTTACTGCCCCAGAGAAAGTGCAAATGGATAGCAAGTGTGACAGAAATGTCACCTTATATGGCTATTTACGTGGCTGTAATTTGAAAATGGGAACCAAGGTATGGAGTTTGAATATTCGTTTGGTTTCTCACTTGTTAGTACCTTTGTGGAAATTGGATATCTTCTATGAAGGGTATTTGGGCCCTTTTTCTTTTTGTGCTGTGGTTTCTTTTTGAGTCTCTATTTTTCTTATCTAAAGTAATTAGTTTTGCTGCTTCAAATTGAACGTATACAACAATTTTCAATTGGCCACAGTTCCCTGGATTTGGTATTAGTTTTTTTTATGATTGGAAATTTCAGTGTTTGTTTAAAGTAATGGTTCCTTTTGTAAGATGAATTATATCGGCAGGATGTTAATCTGGCTTTAGTTTTGTTTAAATTGTAGGCTGACTTATTCTGATTCAACTAAAAGTGCAGGAGTAGTTGTTTGTTTGCTTTGGTCATTCATGAACATATGTTGGACCTGTGCCTTTGATGATAATGGTACTTTGTCAACCTAGGGGGATATTAGGAAAGTAATGTCAGAAGTACTAATACATCACATGAAGCGGCATCTTTTGATGTATGTTGATGTTGTAAAAAGTTGCCTAGCTGCTTGTAATTTGAAATCCCTTATCACATTGTTATTGGCCTCTTAACATGCTTTGAGAAGAATACATTTTCTTGGTCTATAGAACCTTTTAGGAAAATTAAGTTTCCCTTGATTTCCAGGTGTTACCTAAAACTTATCATTTCCATGGAGGACATTTTGCAGAGTTTAGCATCATCGTTTACTATCTGTTGGTGAATGAACATTTTGATGAATGCTATACAAATATTTCCAAATATAATAGATTGACTAAAGTCCTTTGAATGCAAATGCCTGAATGCATTAATTCTCGTCACTAGGTACACATTGCTGGTGTGGGTGACTGCAGTGTGGCTGGGATTACAGCACTACCTGATCCATGCCCTCTACCATCAGCAGCCAAGAAAAAGGGATTACGTGACAAGGAGAAGCTGTTTTACGCTCCAATGTCGGGGTTGGGGGATCTTGTTTATGATAAGGATGCTGTCTACATAAATATAAATGATCACTTTGTGCAGTTCTCTAAAGGCGACAATGACGATGATGGAACTAAGCAAAAAGGTCTGTGTCTTTGTGTTTTACTGCTGCATTATCATTGCATTATCGTTGATCATGAAAGTTCCTCTGATTTCCTTTGTGTGAGCATGGATTCTTTTTATGGATTTCAAGAAGTGAGGTTAGGAGGTGCCTGGTTCGTGGGCGTGGGGTGGGTTTGGAATGGGATATGCTTTGAATCCCATTTTGCTTGCATGGTTGGAAAATAAGGAATGGCAAGGGCCCACAAAACTTGCATTCAAACCTTCATTCTCCTTGGATCAGGCGGGTATTCAAAAATAAAAAAGATCACCATTTTTTCCCCCTCCTTTTTAACCCTTCTCTTCCAGTTTTTCGCATGAATTATGTCCATCTCTATCTCTATCTCTGACTAAACACAAGGATTTATTTCCAGACTCATTGAAGTTCATGTTCAGAAAATTCGAACTCTTCCAGCCTTCCAATTCCCACTTTCTGTTTTCTCTCTCCATTCTCTCGTTGATGGTTAATCTCAACTCTCTTGCAATAGTTGTAAAATTTCAGGCCCACTAACTTGGTGAATCTGAATAGTACGAGAAATCAGGAAAATCGGAAAAATTGTAAAAAGCCATTGGACAAAGCATTGTTGGTGGCATAAATATACGCTTGTCCTTCTGGTGGAAATTTTCTTTTTCTTCCGATCAGATTTGTTACTGGTTTGAGGGCGGAGAATGGGAGTAACATTTAAATGCAGACTGTGAAATGAGTGCTTATTTAGGGATAAAAAGGACATTTTTCTCTTATTTTCTTTCCAAAATTTTCACTAACAAAGAACTATAAACTTTGCTGGTATAGTCATCATTTCAACCTTTAATCAGTCTGATTGTATGCATGACAGGGAAGAACCAGGATGTCGGGGAAGTTTTGGTGAAATCACTTCAGAATACTAAATATTCCATTAATGAGAAGCTAGATAAGAGTGTTATTTCACTTTTCGGGAAGAAACAGAGTACAATATCGGACCAGCAAAGTGATCTAATTAAACCCTGGGAGCAAACTGAAGATGTGAGTGATGGCTCAGATGATGATAAAATTAATGATGTTCATGATTCAGCCTTTTTGGATGATGGGGCAGAAATGTCAGATGACTCTTCTGAAGAAGAACGCGATCTAAAATCAGATAAGCCACCTTCCAGAATCAAATTCGCAGAAAAGATTGATATCCATGGAGGTAGGACGAGGAGAAAAGCTGTTTTTGCAGATGACGTTGCTGGTGAAGAAAAGGTACCTCCATTTTATGTTTTTCTCATTGGATTATAATGTAATGGCAACTGTATTAAGTCACTAAAGATGAATCGGTAGGTTGTTGCCCATCTATTCTTTTCATGGTTCTTGCAGCTGTCTTCTGTTTCTTGTACTCAATCAAAAGATATCAGCCTAGACGAGTTCCTTACTGTGTTTTTGTGTTAGTATTAAGTTTTTGTTTCTGCTCTATTCCAACTCGAATGTAGGATTCCGATGAGAACGATGGTGATGAGGACGACTGTGAGGATGACGAGGATGAAGAAGCTGATGGTAGTTCATCATCTAGTTCTGATTTTTCTGAGGAAGATGAAAATCATCCTAGTGGACATGGTATCATTCTGCCTTAAAAATGTTTTTTTTACTTGTCCGCATTGTATCCTTTTTTCTGATCAAGATTACATTTTAGCTTCCTTATGTACTCCATGAATCAGGGTAGTAATTAGAAATCTCTTCTGTTTGACAGATGTTGACTTGGGAAATATCTCAAAATGGAAAGAGCCCCTGGCAGAAATGAATGCTTCAAGGCAGAACATCAATCTCATGCAACTTGTATATGGAAATTCCACAACTGTGTCTGTGGCTGCAATTAACGGCAGTATTGATGAAGAAAGTGATGATGAAAAATTCTTCAAGCCGAAGGGGGAGGGAACAAAGGTCGGAGGTTGATTTTATTTCTTTGGCTTGTTTTCCCTTTGAAGTATCGAAGGACATATCAGTTGCTATTTTGTTTAGCATAATGTTATTCTTTAGTCTCACTTTTGTTAGTTGGCTGGTTCATGTAGAAATCCAAAGAAGGATTAGATGATGATCTCAATGCTGAGGATTGCTCAAAATTCAAAATACTAAGTCAGAATGACTGGAAAGATGAAGAAGTAAAGGAAAAGATTCGTGATCGTTTTGTAAAAATGGGGTGGTCTAAGGCAGCTCGTGCTGGTCAAGTGCCTGAAGCTAATGATGATGAGAATGGTGATGTGTTTGGCGATTTTGAGGATTTAGAAACTGGTGAGAAATACGAGAGTGGTCCAGGAGCTGATAGTCATCAACGTGAGCACAAAGAGGGCGATTTGGCAGCTGAGGAAAGGAGGCTGAAAAAGCTGGCACTTCGTGCAAAGTTTGATGCTGGATATCCTTTTCCACAAGAATGTTTTGTCTTTGGTTTTTTTTTTTTTTTTTTTTTTTTTGCTTGTCACCTCTCCAATTATGTGAACTTCTTTAACTCTTCTTTTTGGAATATTGTGTACTTGCAAGGATAAAATTTCTCCATTTAGTTTATATTTTCTTTGGATGGAGCATGTCATTAAGATTTTGTGTTATTCCTCGTTATTTTCATGCTTGAGAGGCTCTAATATTGTGGTCACGTGCAGGAAAATATTCATAATTTACATATTATGTGTTTTCTTAGTAACTTTTAAACTATTTTCCTTAACTCCGAGGTACATTTAATGGATCTGATTCGCCTGATGAAGAGAAAGATGATACAAACACCTCAAAGTCTGATCGTAGAGGAACTGATGGCTCTAATTTCATTGATAAGGTATGCGACTCACCTTTTGATTTATTCTTTAAAATAGGGCTCAATAAAATGTGATTTTACTCATCACTCTTTTGTGCATCTTTATAGCTAAAGGAGGATATTGCCCTCCGGAAACAACTCAATATTGCCGAGCTTGATGAACTTGATGAGGACACTCGTATCGAGATAGAGGGTTTTCGAACTGGAACTTACCTTAGGCTGGAAGTGCATGATGTCCCTTGCGAAATGGTCGAGCATTTTGATCCTTCACATCCTATTTTAGTTGGAGGACTTGGTCTTGGGGAAGAAAGTGTTGGTTACATGCAAGTAAGATATCATATCTCCAGTTTCCCTTTATGTCACTCTATATTTTCCACTGTTTATTTAAATGGGCTCTGGATGTTGCATTTTAGCTCTACACTTGTGCGCTAAAACCATAGTTTTTTTCCACTATTGGTTATTTTGCCTGACTAGTTTGTTCAAACTACATGTTACGAGGACCCTTTCTCGAAAAAGGTTACTTCATTTCTATAGCACATGGTTGTCTGTAAATTACTCCTTGATTCTCCTTTTTGTTGCAATGCTTGATTGGTGCTTGCACCTTTTGGCATTAAGTAGTAGCTATATGGAACAATGCTTCTAAACATTTTCTTCAATCCCTTTCTTTTCCTTCTTTCCAGGTTCGCTTAAAACGTCACAGATGGCACAAGAAAGTTTTAAAAACTAGAGACCCAATAATAGTCTCTATTGGATGGCGACGCTACCAGACTACACCTATTTATGCCATTGAGGATAGTAATGGTCGCTATCGTATGCTCAAGTACACTCCAGAGCATATGCATTGCATTGCCATGTTTTGGGGCCCTCTCGCACCCCCACATACCGGGGTTGTCGCTGTACAGAGTTTATCAAATAATCAGGTATTGTCTCTTTTGTCGAGTTCAAATGCAAATGAAGTTGTGACGAGCTGTATTGCGGAGGTTATTAGTTTTTTTTTTTTTTTGAATCTGAAGAAAAGAATGGGCTAGTTGAATTCAAGCTTGCAATTCAGAATAGTGATTTAGGGGTAATGTTATTTTATTGCTCACCTACAGCTCAAGTCATAATTAGTTCTTTGATTTCTTGGTATATTATGCAACGTTTTCACTCTCATCCAATGGATTCAGTATGCTGCTGCTTTTGTTTATTTCATTGCTTTTGTTATAGTTTTTCCATATTCAATATCCTCTTCTGCCATTACAGAATTAGGGAGGTCTGTATGTGCTTAAGTTATCTTGGTATCAGATGATACATGCATTGTTCTGTGACAGTATTCCAACTGTTCTTGTTTTTAATTGTTTGCTTAGGCATCATTTAGGATCACAGCAACGGCAACTGTTCTAGAGTTCAACCATGCAGCACGGATAGTGAAGAAAATAAAGCTTGTCGGACACCCCTGTAAAATCTTCAAGAAGACAGCACTCATCAAGGACATGTTCACTTCTGATCTTGAAATAGCCAGGTTTGAAGGTGCCAAGATACGAACTGTTAGCGGAATCCGAGGTGAAGTGAAGAAGGTATTCATTTTTTTTTTGATAAAACTACGTAGCTATTCTGGCTTTTTCTTTTTTTTTTTTTTGTTTTTATCTTTTTTAATAAAGAGATGGAATCAGTTTTGTGAATATACTCATTAGAACAGTACCTGTCTAAAAAGCATATAGTAATGCATCATCTGGGCATAGATAGTGATGCTGTTTTTTTTTTCTCGTATCTATTTTCATCAACTTTAGGCTGCAAAAGAGGAGATTGGCAACCAACCAAAAAAGAAGGGTGGGTCAGCAAAAGAAGGAATTGCGAGGTGCACCTTTGAAGATAGGATTCTGATGAGTGATGTAGTTTTCTTGCGTGCTTGGACTCAAGTGGAGGTACCCAGGTTTTACAACCCTTTGACAACAGCTCTGCAGCCACGTAATCAAACCTGGAAAGGAATGAAAACAGTAGCCGAGTTGAGAAAGGAACTAAACCTCCCTGTGCCTGTCAACAAGGATTCATTATACAAGGTAGTTTCTTATTCTACACCTGGATGGCTGGATCAGCTTGTAATACCATGTTCCTCCTTTTTCATCTATATTTATTATTGTTGTTGGTCTTCTATTATTATTACTGTTATTAAACTGAATCTTTTCCTGTTGCATTGAACAGCCAATTGAGCGGAAGGAGAGGAAGTTTAATCCTTTGGTTGTTCCCAAATCATTACAAGCTAATCTTCCTTTTAAATCAAAGCCGAAGAACATTCCCTCTGGAAGACAACGTCTTGAAAACCGTAGAGCTGTTGTGTTAACATCTGAGGAGCGCAAAGTGCGCGATCTTGTTCAGCATCTGCAGCTCATTCGGCATGAGAAGGTATGTTCGCCTTAATCAACCACGTAAGCTGAATTTGGCAAGACTTTTTGATAGATTCTTAAGTTTTGTTAGCATTCTTTAGAATGTGACATAACGCTTGGTTCTTAGAGTTGCAAAGCCACCTTCTAATAATTACCTGATTGTCAATGACCATGTGCAGATGAAAAAGCGCAAACTTAAGGAACAAGAGAAAAAGAAATTGCATGAGGCTGAGAAAGCAAAAGAAGAACAGCTATCCAAGAAACGTAAGAGAGAAGAGAGGAGGGAGAGGTACAGGATACAAGATAAATTAAGTAAGAAAATGCGGAGAAATGCATAAGCTTGGTTTGCTCCCATATTGGCTGGCAACAGCTAATTATGTTGGATTACATCGCTCCACAGTCCACATTCATTTTCTGTCCTAACTCCTGTGTCCAAGGGAGTGTAACTCGGCGAGCACAAAACCAGGATAGCAGGCTTAGCAGCCATGAATTCGTTCTGTGAATACTTTGCAGCCTTTGATGTATGAGATCTCTAGAGATTGTAAGATACCACTGTTTTGATTGTAGAGATGACCGGAACGAAATAGAAAAATTTTGTTTGCAATGAGCTATGGAATTTGAAGTCATCTGTAGGCTTAAACGAACCCTTGAACTTTACTCTCTGTTGCGTTTTTCCAAGTCAAGAGCAAATAGGGAGATGAGTGAGACCAAAAGATACAAAACTTTTCAAGCCAACCACGGATGAGAGCATTGATATTAAGAACAAGGGGTGCCATCCTATTTCCTCAAAAAGAAATTAACAAGTTCCTTTATTTATGTTAAAACTTCAAAGCCAACGAAAATTCCAAGGCCTACTAGGGTGATCACTTGACTCACCTATTGAATCACCGCTTGAAATACAAGTCTTGTGCTTTCAAGACAGTGATCAAATACAAGCTTATGGATGCAATATACTCGATATGGAAGATTGTTTACAAGAGGACATATGATAGAGTTGGTGTTATTAAAAGTATTAGTCATCATCACAAGAATCAGAAATTTATACGGAAATAAATACAAATTATATAATTTATAAGAAGTAATTGGATTGTGTGAGTGGCACAAGAAAGTGTTACAAAAGATCGTGTGCAGTTAGGTTGAGTCGCGGATCAAAAGAAGTCATTGACAATCTCGGGAAAAAATTGCGAGGTTCGTTTAATGATTTCTCTAAACATTAGGGGCAGACTGATATAATCTGCCAGGAACAAATAAAAATTGAACAACTGAATTTTTTTTTTTTAAAAAAGGAAAATTAGAGGGAAAAATACTATAAAACCGTTATGCCCTAACAAATTCATTCTTCCATAGATTCTTCAGTGATTGGCATCAGCCGCCGGGAGCTTTAAACCGGAAAAACGAATCCGTACTTTAGATCTTTCTATACGTACGGTCGTTCTCCGGTTTCGTAATTCTCGGAATCTTGCTGCCGACATAGAAATCTTGGAGAATCTAACATCAAATCTGAAAAGAGGGGCATCTCAGAAAGCTAGGGCTGTTTTATCCCATCAGCTTTTAGCTCGCTATGGTGCCCACAATCCACGGTAACGGTTTGGGTGCCGGAACGGCGCCTTTGAGGCGGAACTGTTTCGCCGGAAAATGCCTGCGCAAGTTGCTAATAGATTTTTTTCCTTTTGGGCAAAAGGGGGAGGAAAATGCCTTGTTTTATGCTCTTGAAAAATGCTTTTATGAACAAATTTGATCTGATTCTTCTCAGGAAAAGAAAAATGTTTTTGGAATAATACTATTAGTTTATCCTCGTTTCTTGGTTAAGGTCTTTCTAATCTTCTTCCTCTGGCCATCCAGTTATCTTGAGAATTCCTACTAATCCCGCAAACAAGAATGCTGAAGCATGATAATTTCTGGGCATTTATTTTTGTCAAACGGCTTCAGAGGAAGTTATATGGAGGAGAAATGGTCGTAAATGAAAAAACACAGACGCAATATTGAAAGGATTGGCTCATGTTGGATTGCGCATTAACAAAGGCATTCATCGCAATCATCATAGTGGGCTCATAATTAAAATAGTTCTATGTTAAAAAAAAAGCATAACAGAGGGTATCCCTTGTTGAAAACAGATTTCTCTTGTTGTAAATAGTAAGGTCTTTTGTAAAATTAGAGGATTCCTAAACCTCCAGTGGCACATTAGGGTAATCCACGTACCTCGTGACAAAAATGAGGTAGCGGATAAGTTGGCAAAATTCGGGTTTTCCTGCCCAATTGGTAGGCAAATTTTGTCAACTCCTCTGTCGCAAATCATGGAGCTTTTGGAGTCGGATAGGCCAGTACATCCCTAGCCCTAAGGGATGTTTTGTAATCTAAGCCTTTGGCTTCCCTATTATATATATATATATATAATAAAAACAGATTTCTCAGGTTCTCATACTAATTAAGCTAGCTGACGAACTAAACATAGTGAATGGTCACCGAGTTGATTAGAAAATAAGAGAGAAGAAAGAGAGATACAATGCGAGATCGATCTTTTAGAAAATATTCTTTGATGCTGCTGAATCAGTAGGAATCGATTCGTCATATTCTTGCAGGGTTGGAGCATGCTCCATTTGCGCTGGAATTGGTTGTTGATGGCGGGGCAATTGACCCATCTCATCAATCTTTTCCTTAGGGTTGAAAAGAAAGGGATGAAATTGATGCCAAAGCCAAACACAAAACCATAATGACAGTACTTGGAAATGTATAATTCAATTTTCTTACACTACTACAACTCTATGAATGGCCAAACCAATCAGTTTGGGATAAAGATGTCACCAAGGCTACAGATTAGAAGACAAGTCCACAACAAAAAAAATGATTTTGTGCAATACATGATCCATTTTGTGTTTGGGGGATAGGAAAATGCAAGCATCGAATCGCAACTTTTCAAACCATGTCCTACAACGTTCTCGATTAGAATTTTCCCAACTTAATCGGCATTAAAAATCTTAATACTGAAGGCCAGCTGCTATGATTAATTGATTTGATTCACTTCTACAGCCAAGTTGGTATCATTACATGCTCTTTTATACTTGTACCATTTTGCACAAACCAGAAAGCAACCCAAATTTAAAAACTCTAACATGGCCATGGAATAATAAAAGTTATCCAGCCTTCCATGGTTAAGATCTTCCTGTAGCCATCCAGTTATCCTGTGAATCCCTGATGTGATAAAGCTGCTTAAATAGCTTGATCCAGCTAATCCCATGAAGAAGAATGCCGCAGCGATGCTCCTCATGTTTTCGGGGAATTGTTTGTAAAACAACTCATTTTCTGCTATTGGTGCTAGTGCTTCAGAAAGCCCTGACAGAGCTAGCTGAGGGATTAGCCACATTGCAGACAGTGAAGAAATGGCACCTTTTCCGGGAACAACTCCTAATGTTGGCTTTGTGAGTGCCAATGTCTTCCTTTTATGTTCAACGAGTCCTGAAAGTAACAAAGCTAGGGATGATATGAATATACCAATTCCCATTCTCTGGAGGATGGTCAATCCATCTTCTTTTCCTGTCACTTTTCTGAGCAATGGCACTAAAATCCTGTCGTAAAATGGGAGCCAAATAGTCATGCTTAGCATGGCGAAGATGATGTAAGAAGCAGCTGGAATGTGGAAACTGGTGTAGCCAAGGCGCCGGTCAGCTTGAAGGGCTTGAAAGACGGCATAGTTTTGTTGCTGAACTACAGATACATAGTAAATTGACCCGGACACCCATATGGGAATCAGTCTAAGGATGCATTTTACTTCTTCCACCTGCTGGACACTGCTAAGTCTCCATGGATTTGCCGACGATCCATCAGAGTTGATCTTATCTTCAGGCATCACAACAGCCGCTTTGCTAATGAATCTGAAAATTAAAGATTGCCTCTGCAATTAGTCAGTTAATGTGAACAAGAGGTGAATTCATCTAGTGAAATAACTAAAAGGTGGATATAATTAACAGTATTTGGCTCTTCCAGGTATGCCACGCCTGTGACTGAATCATTACATTAGATGTTCATTGTCTCTAACATTTCTCATAATGAGAACAGCAATATTATATTCTGATATGAATACCTTAATTGCTCGGTGTGTGATAGCCGACAGTTGATGGAATTGGGAGGTGCGTGATTGAAGAGTAGGGGCCATGGTTGCTTCGGGAGCTGCACTCGCTTTTTCCTAAATGCAGCGACAATCACTTGCGCGATTTGAGTTAAAGGGCTTCCTGTTGGTATCTGTTTGACATACAACTTTGTACCGGCGAAGAAAAGCGCGCAGGAGAAAAACATTAGTATCGCAGGAATGGCTAACCCTAAAGACCAGCTCACATTGGACTGCACATAAACAATGGCCGTCAGCGACACCATCATCGCGAACGCATAAGTGAAATAGTACCAGTTAAAAAAACTGTTGATCCCTCTTCTCCCTGATTCAGTATTAGGATTAAATTGGTCTGCACCAAATGCCAAATTGCAAGGCCTAATGCCTGAAGAACCAACAACTAAAAATCCGAAAGCCGTTAATAGAAATGCCATCTGCCAACCTGTTGGCCCAAGACATCGTCCTGTTCCACATTGGTGAGGATGCAATCCTGGAACAGCTGCTGTTAAGAACAACAGAAGCATCCCCTGAGGTATCAAGTTAAAAGGCTTCAGCATCTTATATTGATTTAGATAGCTCATCAAGTATACAAATGTTGAATTGGAGATTACAGACATACCAAAAAGGATGATATTGAGGCAAATCCTAAGGTTTTGTAGCGACCGTAGTAAGTATCAGAGAGGAAAGCTCCAATTAAGGTGCCAAAGTTGCAAGTGCCATTGAAGATGTTGACAATGTTAGTTGCTGTGATGGTCTTCAAGTTGAAGATGACAGTGAGATAGACCAAGAGGTTTGAACCAGTTCCAATGGTTCCTAGTTTCTCAAACGTCTCGTTCCCTACAAAAATTAGTTATTTGAATAACTTAAATTAATCACCAATCACACCATCTTATTAAAACTTAATCGCTCAGTTCAAATCGAATTTTGCGGTTAAAATTATTTTACTTTATTTTATATTTCCTTCGGTCCTAATTATAAGACACAAACGCGAGTGGGTAAAAACAAACTATACCTATGACAAAAGGCATGGCTTTAATTCCCCTGTACTTGACTCCATCACTTCTAATAGCTTCCTTTCCAGCATTCTCCATGGACTCCTTACAAAAAGTTCTGGAAGTCCTTCAACCAATCCTTTGGTTTGCTAATTTTAACTAATTCTATGCATATCAAATTCATAGATGGATTTATATAGTGACGAGTCTAGGAGAGAATTAGTCCTAGACGCTAAGAAGGGATCATATGCTTGTCCCCTTTACCTTTTTTTACTTTGGCACTATGAAGGATTATCAAAATTTTCCCAATTATTAATTCAGAAAAAGATAAGGTATAAAGTGAAATTAACTTTCAATTATGCCGTTTTGAGTAGGCCCACGTACGCAACTTCTTCCATACTTTCCCAAGAGAGAATTATTTAGAAATTAGAGAATTATATGGATATTTTGATTTTTGGCAGTCATCCATGAATACGAAATTGAGATTGTAGTTTTAAGTGTTTAACATATCACCAAAATGTTTATAAGATCAAAAGGATACACGCAAGGGAAAAAGGCGAAGAAAAAAATCCAAACCCACGGACAAGATTGTGGAACATTCTGAAAAATAATTGCAAATGTATTATCATCATTTCCTGATGATTTAGCGTCTACTGATTGAAATATTTAATGCTTTGACTGAAAAACAAAAAGAAATTGGTAACAAATATTTCAAAAGTACTGATTCTTCTTCCGTCCATGGTCAACAGTTACAGAACCTAATACACCTGTGGTCATGCTGCTTCATTAGCATCATCCTCCGGTAGCATGCTGTAAACACAGCCAGGGAAGTAAAACCAATCATATGGAGATTCCGAAGCTGAAATTTTACCATTGCACCACATAATGCCCCCACTAGTTTATAAGCTATTCATAAGCTGCAACTTTCGCTCTGAACTCTTCGAGTAGATCTTGAACGCTCACAACAGAAAGTTTCTCACTGTCTCTCACACGTTTAGTGACCTGGAATCGTCAAAGAAATTTTCAAAAAAATTAAACCAATACAACAGTTCTGTGGCACACGGAGCCTGATGAATAGTTTAAGAAAACCAAAAAAATTCTTCTTTAACGAGAGGGACTTGAACACCAGCATGACAAAGTTTCTTTACAAGATTATGGAAATCTGGTTTCACTTATTCCAGTTCAGGTAAAATTTCCAGAGGCAAATCAATGCATGAAGCATGTCTAAGATGTGCAATGTTTCATCTAATCTACCAATATTCTCGCTAATCAGATATACAATGTAACGTGGTTAGCCAGGAAGTCAAAGCACCACAATTTAATCCCATTAAATCCCAATTCTGATAGTACATTCATTAAAGCAGTTGGGCCTATTGCGGCAAATCCTTTTCTTACTCGGTAGGAAAAAGTACAAGAATGCAAGCATAACAACAATAAGTTCTAAAAGTCTCTCTCTATTGATAGTGCAGAACTGTGGCAAAGTTGTTAATAAAATGACGGGGATAGAGGAATTAAAAATTGCCAAGGAAAATCGTATGCAACTTGAAGAATGCAGAAAAACAGAAAATAAACTAGCAAAACTTCAACAACCTATTTGGCTAGAAAATATAATGATCAAGGCTTGATGCTTAAAAACTATGGTGACATCTTTTCAATTCACTCACGAAAATATTAAATTACTCAGGCAGAGTATGTAACCTGGTTATTTTCAGCTTCCTTCTCGCCGACAACCAAGATGTAGTTGTATTGTGCCACTTGTGCTTCTCTAACCTGCAGGCCCATGAATGCAAATCCTTAAGATGTGAGAAACAAATTCAATAGCACCATACAAAAGAAAGCAAGACAATTCATACAATGATATTCTGTAAGAACCTACACTTATTTTGTCAAAAAAATTTCATTAATCTAAGGACAACCCAACCTCCTTTATCCCTACTACAAAATATATCAAATAAAAAAACATTTCTTTCCTTGCAAGAGCAGGAATAAAATGTTACTAAAGAAAGCCAAAAATTATGACATATAAAGAAAAGGAATCAACAATTCAAATACCACAGAACTTTGATCAACAGAATCAATCGACACAAACTGATGGCATGATCTGAATGCAAACACAATAGATAGAAAAGTTTAATAAGGAATAAGGTTATGGAGGAAACAAATTTTGAGCTGACCTTTTTATTGATGGTCCTGTCTGTACTATCAACGTCAACATAGTAACCAGCATCATGAAGCTGATCCCGCAGCTAATACATGAAAGATATTGCAACAATTTCAGAAAGTATTATAGAGAAGCAAAATTTGCAAATATGGAGTACACACTTGACAGCATTAAAATCTAATTAAAAAGAAATTAACAAACTAGACGGATACTTGAGAGAGAGGCTAAGGAACATAAAGTTTACCTTCAAAGCATATTCAAGAGATTTTTCAGAGACAGGGCACACAATTGCTTGGCGAGGACTGAGCCAGAAAGGCCATTTGCCTTTGTAGTGTTCTAATAAGATTGCAAACATACGCTCAACTGACCCTAGGATAGCCCTGTGAATCATCACCGGTCTCTCCATCTTGTTTTCGTCTTCAGCCGTGTATGACAAGTTAAATCTAGAAGGGAGTTGAAAGTCCAGCTGAAACAACAAGAATATATCAGGAAATTGGTTATGGAATCATAGTAAGCTAAATGACTTATTCCTACAAGGAGAGAGATAATGATGATAGGCTGACAAAAAACTGGCATGGGAAATATGCTGACGAAAATATCAAATATAAGAGTAAAAGGAACTAGGAAAGAAAGGAAGAATGGATTAGACCTGCAAGGTAGCACACTGAAATTTTCTCCTCATCGCATCATTCACGCTAATGTCAATTTTTGGTCCATAAAAAGCTCCATCGCCTTCATTTATCTAGCAAGTAATTAAATCGAATTGTCAGAAAGACCCCGAGATGATAGTCATCAATAGACTTATTTTGGAAAGAAACAACAAGAAGAAGCCATCATGCTCAGACGACACACATATATTTACTTATTTGACTAAAGCAAATCAAAAGAGCACTGCCAAAGTTGAAGAACTAATAACATACTGAAGGTGAAAAACTCAACTGTTTATAATAACCAGGTAAGTCTCAAGGATATGTTAAACAAAATTAGTATGGACTAACCTGCCAGGGTTTGCCAAACTCATTTAATGCTTCTGTGAGAGCAGCTTCTGCCCTATCCCATGTTTCCAACTCCCCAAGATATTTTTCGGGCCTCTGCAACAATAATGATGGAAAATAAAGGTAGTCAAGTTGTGAATTACTGGTTCATATGGTCCATTTGGAATGAAATAGAGCTTCGAACGGAAACAAGGGGAAGGCATAGATACGATACTTACAAAAACAAACTTGCATTAAAATATCCACTCTACCCCACCCCACCCCAGGAAAAAAAGTAAAAACCACCAAAAAACCCACCGGAATTTTTTCCTAAAAACAAAATAAAAAAACAAACAATGACGGAAACGTAAAGACCAAAATTCAACGAACACTTCATCTAGATGGAGATTCATAGGGAACATAATCAACTTGGGACTAATAACTTGTAAACTAAGAATTCAATGTACAGCATGACGAAACCACCCAAGGAATACCAGCATATTTGATGCTATAAGTTTAAAGAAAAAGAAGAGGGAAACTGAAAACCCTTACCGTAGATAGCTTCAAGTCAAAAGTGAACCCAAAAATTTTATACGCATGACTTATGAAATCCAACACACTCTTGACTTCATCTTTTATCTGCAAAATGGACAATCATTCAGAGGAAAATATCCTCAACTGAAAGAAGTAGTTAAAGCATTACAGGACATAAAAGTCTCACTTGAGACTCCCTGCAGAAGATATGTGCATCATCCTGCCAAAAGGAAAAAAACATGGTTTCAGAAGGGGAGAGATTACCATAAACACAGAAAAATAATTACAATGGACAAAAAACCCTTAACGAAAGCAAAGACACAAGGGCAAACTATGACTGTTACTTGTGACCTTCCTTAATACATCAGTTGTGGGACAATTTACACTGCTGAATAAATATGAAAATGTGCTTCATCATAATACTGGTATGTTTAATAGGTAATGCTCTAAGGAAAGTCATTCAAGGGCACAATAACAAGTGAAACTCTTAATGGTGTGTTAAGGAATTTTTTAAAAGCATAAAAGATCTATAATTCTAACCTGAATCACGCAAGTTGTTTAGTTATTTTGCCATAATGATGAAGACAATTCTTGAATGATATTCAGTTACAGGCTAGCCCTACCCTGTACTATTCAAATGTTCTTCCTTCACCATCATCCTTCCTTTAACAATTGACCAAACAAGGGGTAAAATACATCTTTAAAGCTTAAAGCCGATCATCAATTATACTAAAGGAAGAAAAGACCACGTAAATCATCATCATTATTATTTTAGTTTTCATTGTCAATAATCAGAAACCACAGATACAAGATCTGGGTCTGCTTTGCCCCGTCTCCCAAATCCCCGAGTTTTCACACCTAATCCTCCAAAAGCAGCAGCTTAATTTTATTTTCAGTAACCAACCCACTGATTTAAAAATGTAAGCGGCGCTATGCTTATAATATATATTGGAAAAAAGAAGCATCTTGGAAAAGACGAGATTTTAGAGGGAAAATGAAAAAGCACGTCAAGGGAATTCTTTTACAAAAAAAAAAAAAAAAGTGTGGGGAAGTTTAGAGGTGATAAAGATTTTGCAATGAATATTTGCAATGTTATTTTCAGAGAAGTCAACTTTCTTGAACAGGTGTTCACAACAGAGCAGAAGTAGGCTCAAAGTCCATCGGTTGCAAGATGCATTATCATGGTAAAATCGCAGAACAGAAATTCTGACGCACAGTTTTGGCCAATTTAAGACTGTGGAAATAAACGATTGAGTCAGTAATGGACTCCAACCGGACTTTTTCTAATGAGTCACATACGAATCTAACATTAGGATTGCAATAACTATCATAGATCCACAACTTTGCAGATAATTAAAATCATGTTCTTGGGAAAATATGTAAATACCTGCTGAAATCTTCGAACACGCGTTAATCCAGTAAGAGCACCGCTGGCCTCATTACGATGCAGGACACCAAAATCAGCCAGACGAAGAGGAAGTTCTGAAAATGACAAACAATCAATCAACATACATATTTTAGATTTTAAGGGAACAAATAAAGAGATTATTTTTTTGGAGAAAAACCAAAACACAGCATGCAAATCAAATTTCTACCCAAAAGCAAGTTAATTATGAGCATGTTCAACTAATAATCTGACAAGACTTTTAATGAGCAGATCATCAGAGTTGTAATCACTTAATATAGCTTTCTCCAGACATCTGTAGTCTCCATCATCAACATTATGCAATGTTGCTTCTAATCAGAACAAACCAGAAGATGATGATCCCAGAAATAAAAGATTAAAGAAGATGAATAAAGATGACCGATTAACTTACCCCTATAGGAACGAACTCTATGATCAAATATTAAACAATGCCCAGGGCAATTCATCGGTTTGAGTCCAAATTCTTGTTTTTCAATCTGTGAAAAATAAACACATTCACTTCAAATAAACAACAACAGTACATGGGCACAAGACATCAACAAGAGATGGTAAATTAGCTTCTTCCATCGTTGCATCAAACCTTCGCAAGAGAAAAAAGTTTCTCGGAAAAAAGCAACCACTGCCATATGCAAATGAAGATGGTGCACATTGAATACAGTTAAACAACTCATGAAGAAATCAACAATACACCCAACAATTTTACTTTCCAACATTATCAAAAAAAAAAAAAAAAGAAGAAGAAAAACCACAAGTTCAATAAGGAAAGAAGTCACATGGATTTATCCAATTCACTGAGCTTATAAATTATATAAAACCATTATATAGTTAAGATTAAAAATCACCTCAATTTTTATGATAAAAGCAGTTCAATAAAAGAAAGGCAAAACCATCATGAAGTTTGAAAACAGGTGATCAAAATCAAGTTCCGGTAAAAGTAATAACACAAAGCATTGAAATTCCAAGGTAAGGAAAAAAAAAATCTTTCCCAGAAATCTCAATCATGCTTAGCAAAAAAAAGTCATGTACGAGACCCAGAAAAAAAAAAAAGAAAAGTGAAAAAAATTATTACCATTCGTCCTGGGGACAAAAAACAAGACCCAAAACTATTTTTGTCATTTGGACAGCATTGGCATTTGTCTTTGTACGTTTGTAAGTTAGAAAATTGTTTCAACAATGAAAAAGAAAAATAGGCTTGAACCGTAAATGGTGGTCCTTTAAGTAAAAAATCTGTCAAGGAAGTCAGAGACAAATCCAAAGCCTTTATCTCAAGTAGGGTCAGCCACAGATAACATATCTTCTCACCATAAAGCTGCATTACAGTTTCTTATTTTACTCGCACAAATGTGGCAACTTTTTCGATGGAAATCAACCTAATACAACTTTATTTTTCAGAACTTGGGATTGGCCCTTCTCACATTAATAGAACTGAGTGCAGATTTCAAAATCTGCAACTTCAAATGATTTCCCAAATGCAAAATCAAGATTAACAGAAGTTTGAACATTATTAATGTTCTCATTGTATGGGAAGCCACTTAAACATTTCAGAGGAATATATCAACAGATCGTTTGGTTCACTAAGAAAGAACAAAAGGGCATTGATAAAATTTGCTTTCTGACCTCAAACAAAAACATATTCTCCTTGTAATTTGCAGCATGCCCAGAAGTTTCCCATAACTTCATGTTGTACATATTTGGACTCCAAACCTTCAGAAAGAAACAGGTAATAAGTGAACTTCAACGTTCATTCAAACAAAAAATAGAGTAATTTAATGGCATTAGATGTTGCCTACCTCTTCATAGCCCCTCTTCCAATATTCCTTACGTATAAATTCTAAAAGTTTATTGCAAACTCGAGCACCATGTGGAAGGAAGAAACAACTTCCAGGACTGAAAATAATGCAAAATATATTAAGTGGAAATATCGCTGGTTGATAAAATTTTGATGGAAAACATCAGAACCTACCTAAGCGGATGAAAAAAGAAAAGTTCCTGCTTCTTAGTCAATTCTCTGTGATCATTTTTCTTTGCCTCTTCCAAATCCTCCTTATATTGCTGCAAAATAGTTATGAAATCAACATTTTTCAAACAATAAACTTCAGTTATTCACGAGGAGTTACAATTTCATCATTAATGCATCAACTTAACAACATGAGGTATGATCTGTTTCATATTGTATGGGTAATGGAACCATAATAACTGTCTTCAAATGAAGGCCCAACAAAAAATTATGTGCATAAGATCCTTTTATACGTACAACCCAAAGAATAGGGAAAATATAACAACGCAACCAAGATCAGGATTTAAATGAACATGTTTACTCAATACAGGCAATGATGTCTCATGATATAGTTTACTCTAATACCATCCGAGAAGCACAGAAGGATTATTGGCATATCAAAAAGCCCAGAAATATGGAACCAGTAAACCAAAAATCCAGGGTAAATGGGAAAGCTTCAGTCGACCAAGGTCCTGTTACATTTTCTCTATCCTGAAAAAGTAAAAACGTGCAGGAGGTTGCTCATTCTACATTCAAGTTCTCTAAAGTGCACCCTAACCCCGTAACAATATTAATATTTTGGAAGACCAGCAATATGGAACCAGTGAATCAGAAATCCAGGGTAAAGGAGAATTCTTGATAAGACCAAGGTTCTGGTCATTTTCACTTTATTTTATCCAGGAAAAGTTTCCTCTGAAAAAGAAAAGATGTGCAAGTTGTCGCTCATTCTTCCTCCAAATTCTGCTCACATTATTTGAAAATGAAGAGAAAACTTATAATTCCAAGTCTCCAAACGAGTTTATTTTTTTCACTCCAATATAAAATTTGCATAACGGTCCTCTATCTTCCCCTTACAAAGAGAAATTCTTCCCTTTAAGGACATTAATAAACATTCTGTAGTCATGCATTATGAAATCTTTTCTCACCGCTCTCACCAGATTATTAGCAAATTACCCAGGGCTTTCACAATAAGTGAAGCATCTGTCCAGCTCATTGTGAATCTCTAACTTCTGAGGCAAAGAAGACAATCTTGAAAAGATACATTTCCAAGGAATATACAAGATCGAATAATCCAAATAACCTTTTGCCTAATATTGCAGTGAAAAATGCACTTCAGTGAGATCAATATGTGAAATCTCAACCAAAAAAAATACGCTTATAAGTTGAAGAAAGCACAAGAAAATTACAATGAAGTGCATAACTGCATATTAGCTCATTTTTGTAAGTTGATTGCCCAGATATTAGAGTGAGCTAATCAAAACTGGAAACAAGAGCAATGATCACCCTATAATGTTCCGATAAGAAACTGGCAATGCAAAACAACAGTATACCCAGTATATTTCCAACTTTATTGTTAATGCAAAAATAATGCATAAATCACATAAAAGTAACAGAATATCAATGTATTCTAGTTCATCATACCAATAGAATGAGAAGAATCAGATATCAGATAGAAGTATAAATACTATGATACACTTCAGAACATGAACCCATCTAAGATACAGCTAATTCCATCTTATTACGAGGTTTTCATCCATATCTAATGTATTTAATGTTTTAAACGCCAATTATTAATATTCAAAGCACACCTGTACATGATAAAAGAGCAGGATGATTGATCAACCACTAACAAAACACACCAGTTGAATGTTGTATTGTGGAAAAAAAAGTAAGCTTATACCCAAGAACAAAAGGACAAACACTGAAAATTACCTTCAAGCGTTTTTGGTCCAGAAAAGATATTCCATAAACCCTCTGTAAGCTTTCACGATCTTGCTTTCCTTTCCAATAGGCCGAAGAAGCCTAATTTTAGACATCAAGGGCAACAAATATGAATGCACATATTTTCATTACTAATCTTAAAATAGTAACGCTAATAACCACGAAAATACTATTCAGCATCTTACCTTTAAGCAACAAAAAGCTTTCACAAAGGATGTATTGGGTATATGGGGCCCACGACACAAATCAACCAAGGGTCCACATCTATACACAGTTATAGTCTTATCTTCTGGCAAATCATTAATGATTTCCACCTGTTACCAAAAGGTAGATGACTCAGTAGATTTCTCAAATACCAAATATGAAACTTTTAGCTAAAAATAGCCAAATAACCTTGAATGGATTATCAGAGAACATTTCCAGAGCTTGATCCCTTGTAACCTCAATGCGCTCAAAAGGTTGCTTCTCCTGAAATCCAGCAACTACGTAAGTAGCAAAAATATGTTTTTCAAGAAGTACTGCTCAGGCATTTTCAAAGTGACATACAAACATGTACAGAAATGATACACAACAAGATGCTTTCTTACATAAAGAACTCAAAGAATCAGACAGATACATAATGTTTCTTTTTTCGTATTTCGTCACAACTGTTACCTTTCCACATCTCATAGTAATAACAGAACTGGCAGCATAAGTCCAGGTTTCCAACTATTACCAAATGATAGTAGGCAGAAATACAAATGTAGGGAATAACACACTTTATGATTGTTGATTTTAAGAAGACTAGGACATAAGTTTATTTTTTTTGTAAATTGTATTTTAAACTATACATTTACAATATGTTACCAGGAAACTACTGGAAAATTGTGAAACAACAATAATTAACTCCTCAAGAACGAACACGAGAGGGAAAGAGAGAGAGATACCGAAACAGCTTTTTTGGCCCCATCTTCAATCTTTTTAAAGTGTTCCTCATTCAGGCCCAGATCGCCATAAAAAGCATCATAGTAAAAGCCCTGAAAAAAAGATTCATTGAGCATGAAAGCCATCCCTAATACCGGCAGTGACTAGGAGAACATAACTGAAATCCAAAATGCAAAACAATTTGTGCTGTAATTGTAAATGATCAATAGGTTACAACTTCTTTTTTAAAAGGAACAAAATATTGTCCTACCATGAAGATTTCGCCCTATAATGATGTGATAGTGGCGCATAATACACCTAAACTATGTTTCAACAGATGAAAATCGGGATGATTTTGAGAAGAAAATTGCAGGGCTTCCAATCAAAAGAAGGAATAGCATAACAGAATACTCTTCGAATGACATAACTCTAGCAACCATAAGCATTGGAAACATTATTTTAATGAAAGCGAAGCTAAGAAAATAAACTCTAGCAACCTATTTGGGCAATGGTTCCATTCAATTTAGCCGAATTACCCAAGCATCTGAAATTCAGGTTACAACCTTGTCTTTCACGGCAAAATTCTAAAATGAGTGAACCACAGAATGAGTCTTTAAACCAAAAGAAGTGTGCTTATATCATGAATTTATTTTGGTTTCCATTAGGCAAAATAGATTTAGATTCACAATTGTATATCATCAGAAGTATACTTAGATATGGCTTATCTTTATTGAAAAAATATTGCTACAGAACTGGTCTCAGATTATTGAATCCCCGGAATCTTCTCCACGAATAAAGAAGTAATCATCAAATTATTAAATCTCATTGTTAGATGCAGTTCAGCAGATGAAACACCTCACTTTTTAAGCTCCTTCATACTTGGTTAGCAATAAACTCCGAAGAGGTCATGATTTCTCAACTATAGAACCTAAACCAACTAGCACAATTGAATTCATCATGGTAGTAATTAATTAACGCAATCCAGTAAATAATTCACTAGAGGTTAGAAACCAGTCAGAATCTTTCTGTGCATAGAAAGCTAGTTTTTCACCTCTTTTACTTTTTCTCCACAGAATTAGGAAAAATGCCCGACTGCTATAGGGATAATCCAACTAGAAAGATACAATCAAATGCAAAAACAGGAGAAAGAATAAGAGATACTAAACATTATGATTACCTCGCCTCTTGTCGTGCAAGGACCGATGCACAGTTTGCAACCATATGTCTGCTCCAGTGACTGCACAAACAACCCACATTTCCAAATCACATACGCTTTGAAAAAGAAAACACAAGGTAGCTAGAAAATACAGTAGAAGAACAAAACCTGTCCAAGAATGTGAGCACTAGAGTGCCAGAATGTATCTCTTCCCTCATCATCATTAAAAGTAAAGAGCTTGAGCTCACAGTCTCCCTCTAAGGGCCGATGCATATCCCAGAGCACACCATCCACTTTAGCAATCAATGCATTAGAAGCCAAACTCTTCGAAATCTCTTTCGCAACATCAAACGGCGACGTATTCCACTTCTTCCCCTCCTTCACTGACCCATCCGGTAACGATATTCTAAAGAGAACTCCAACAATTAGCAAAATTGCAAAATCTTTCAACTACAAAGTGAAACACAAACCACCAAAAACAAAGAAAAAAACCGCTTAACTATCATTACTTGATGGTTTCAGGAGCGAGAGAAAGGCGTTCGACTTTCTGCTGATTCTGAATGGATTCGAAAAGCGATATTCGTTTGGGGATAACTGTGCTGAGATAAGCGTCCGCTTCCTCTTTTGAATACTTAGCATTCGCTAAGCTCGCCATGGTATGAAGCCGGAAAACGAAGGACTGGCGGCTGAAGACGGCAAGCGGCGGCGGCGGCGGCGGCGGAGGGAATGAACGGCGGATTACGGCAGACAAGAACCGATGCCCGAGTTTGCTGCAGCCAAAGGGCATGGGTTCATTAAAAAGTCAAGCCAAGGGTTTTAGAGATACCCAAAGTTTTAAAACAGAAAATATGGGCCCCACATCCATTTTTTCCGTTATTAAAAAAAATAAATTGCTTTCAAATTGTAAAAGCCAAACCCAGAAACTTTTGATTGATTTCAGCTCTCCAGTTATGTCTCCTCCAGTTCCTCCTGAACTGTTAACAGGTGAAATTCTTTGAAGCTAACTATTTTTTTTCTTTTACTTACTTTATGTTTCTTGGCAGATAAATTAATACAAGATTATCAATTTGATGATGATTTTTTGTAGATGATGTGAGCCTTTTGATGGTATTGATCGACACGAACCCCTACTTCTGGAGTTCAATCAAACAGAGTTTCCCTTTCTCGAAATTCCTCTCCGACGTAGTTATTTGAAACCCTGTTATATTTTGCACCAACTAGCTTTTTTATCAAAATGTTCATTGTTTTTTTTTTTTGAAGTATTAATTTTGGTGGGTTTTTGCCTTTTCTGTTTAATGTGATTTGGGAATCTAGGTTTTGGCATTTTTGAATGCAACCCTGTTGTTGAACCAGCTGAATCAGGTGGTTGTAATTGCTACTGGTTATAATTCATGTGGCTATGTGTTTGACTCGGCTGGCTTGGTAAATGCCCGGGCTGAGAGTTGTTTGCCTGAATTGGAGAAATTTCTGAAGAATGATGCGTCAATGAGTACTGAAGATACTGTGAATGGGGTTGGCCATTCGCTTCTTTCTGGTTCTCTTTCGATGGCATTATGCTGTATCCTTATATTCAATCAATCAGTGTTTCTGCCATTAGTTTCGTTTTATTGTTTTCTCAGGTCTTTTCACATATTTGTATATTTTATGTTCGATCTTCATTTGGGTATTGTTTGGATTTGACTAGAAAAATGACAGATATTCAGAGGATATTTCGATCAGGAGCTGGTCATCCACAACCTCGGGTAATAACATAGCTTTAATTTATGCTTTAATATAATGTAATCTAGTAGAAATCGATTTTTAAATTATGAGATATGATGAAATATGTAGTTAAAATGGTTGTCTCGTATGATCTTCTGAAGATGATGCTTTTGTCCAGCATTATAAGTATTATTTTGCAACTATATTGGAAGGTTTTCTGGTCTTATGACACAAAAGTTTCCTGTTGATTTATCTTTTTGGGGATCCATACTTTCACTTTAAGCAGCGGGAGGACATCTATGTATTATGTGCATCTGCTTGTCCTGAACAAGAACACACTTACATTCACTTTTTCTGCCTAATATTCAAGATTTGTGTCTCTATCCCCCCCCCTCCCCCTTTTTTAATTGGGAATTTAGGTTATACTCGTCACAACATACTCCAAAAACAAACAATGACACATTTGTACCTGCTTGAGTTGACAGCTTCTTCTGTTATGGTCAGATATTTTGTGGAAAGGAAAGAAACGATTGCATTGAAAGGCACTGATCTACTGCTAACAATAGTGTAGGTTGATTCTACTAACAAATTCCTCCCAATTAATCATCAATTCTTCCAGACACATCAAAAGTTTGGTATATTACTGATGGAAGCGAGGGCGGTTATTCTTTTTATTCCTACTTTATATGATCCCATTGGCAACTTCTGCATAATAGTTCTGAAGCCAATTCCTACTCCAGATAGTAAATTCTGTTTGTGTGATATTGCTTTACTATATTTTTTTGACAGATTCTCATGCATGATTTCACATTCTGTACTCAGCGAGTGGTTGTGAATTACTTTTGTTTGGGTTTTTGCCTTCACTGATTTGCTGTTTGAAAATCATGGCAGATACTATGCCTGCATGGGTCTCCTGATGGACCTGGACAGTATGTCTCTATCTTCTTTGGGAGCTCTAATAAGGCTTCTCTCCCTTGTTTTAGTTTGACGTCTTCTTCCTTTCTTTTGTAGATATGTTGCAGTAATGAATGCAATTTTCTCAGCTCAACGTTCAATGGTTAGTATGACCTTTATGAACCACATAAATCTTTATCTTATGTGTTTGATAATGATAATATTCTTTTACATAATCTAATAGAAGGCCATTTCACAGATATGTTTTGACTTCTAAATGTTGGTTCAATCCTTCATCATTGTTGTTTGAATCCACCCTATTCGATCTTGTTTAATTAGTGATGGTGAATATAAGTCTGTGCGTACTCTTATTTCATTTCTTGTTGATGTTTGAAATTTCTAGTATTTAAATAACATCAAAGTAGTGCCCCAACACCCCTATACACATTAAGAAATTGAAAGGACTAAAAGAAAAGAAGTGGCTTAACTTTACTGACATTTGATAGGCAACTATATTTATATTTATATAGTTTTCAAATATCTAATAGATGGTATCTGATGTTCAGTTAAATGTTGTGTGTGGAGTACCTTTTTCTGTTTCTGGAAATCTTCAATTTCAATAGTTGTGAGGGGGTTTTCTAATATTTTGCATTATCATACTTATACATGAGTTTATGTGCAAAATCTTCAATTGCAATACATGAGTTTATGTGCAAATTTTGCTTAATTGCAATACTAGAGCTACACAATTTTTGTGCACTATGGAAGATATATGTTATGCCAAAGAGGGGAGTGTCCTAAGCTGGTGTTATTGCTTGTCCTCTTGCAGGTGCCAATTGACTCTTGTGTTATAGGAGCACAACATTCTGCTTTTCTTCAGCAGGTTGGTTCTGCAACTTTCTGTCTGTTATTAGGAAAGGGTGGAGGGGATATTGGTTTTTTACTGATTAGTAATGATCATTAAGGACAGGCATCTCATATAACAGGAGGTGTATATCTGAAGCCACAGCTGCTAGAAGGACTTCTTCAGAATCTCTTGGTAGGTTCCATGTCAGCTATTATAGACATCAATTTATTGATTTTGAAGTGTAGTAATCTTGAATTTCTGAGCTGGTAGCTCTTTTATCTTCTTAGAACTATGTAAAAGCTAACTAAACTTTTGTGTTATGTGCAGACAGTGTATGCAACTGATATGCATTCTCGTAATTTTATCCAGCTGCCAAAGCCTCTTGGAGTGGATTTTCGAGCGTCGTAAGTAGCTTTTGAGTGTTGTTTATTATTTGGCTCTCCATAAATGTAAATAAATCATTAGTTTTCTGTACCTTTGACAGCAAGCTTAGCACTTCAGTTACACAACCACTTCTTTTAACTTTCCGATACATGTTATAAATACTGCAAAATTGCTGTTAGAAGTTCCATCCAGCCAGGAATGATATTAACAGCTGAAAGGGGGACTAGACATAATTTTATTTTACTGCTTCAGAAAATTAGCTAGTTTTTGCAACGTTTAGCGCATTTTAAGTGTTATGTGTTGAGAATGCTGGAGCATGCAAATGCCTTAAACTGGTTGTCAGAGCTGGTAACTTGATTCCCATTACCAGCTCCATTTCTACCTTTACACACTGAGTGTTAAAGTGGTATATGATATTATGTAAAAGTTGATTATAAAGACAAGTACCAAAGTGGAGCTTTGGATGCGTGAATCTAGAGGATGTACATCTTCTAACAGTTGAATGTGATCATAAAAATGTTAGTGTTGTGTATCTTCAGTGATATTAAGAGAAACATTAGAAGCCTCCTATTTAAGAAGTGATAACACTTGCATTCCATTCAAATCAGACTCTTATCGCCTGGGCCTAGAATCATTTTATTTAGTCTTCTATTCATTCGTCCATTGCACTTAGGTAATATGGCTTAGCATTGTTTTTAAGTTTGCACACATTGCTACTTTTAGTTATTGATGGACTGTTTATCAACTTACAGGTGTTTTTGCCACAAAAATACAATCGACATGGGTTTTATATGCTCTGTTTGCTTATCCATATTCTGTGGGAATCAAAAGAAATGTTCAACCTGTGGGTGAGTACCACTTTCTACTTATTATTCTAGATTCAAATTTGAATCACGCTGTTTCTTTAGTATTGGAACTGTATCATCTATCTCAGTTGAAGTCCGTAGAGGATTTTCTTTTGGTTTCTTTATTTCTTTCATCTTCTGCTTGAGATGACTTGAAGGAGAATATAGGAAGTCTTAGAATACAAATATAATGAAAGATATCGTCAATTAATAGACTGTGTGGGGATGTCTGGATTGTACTCACTCTGTAGATCTATACTTTGCATGATGGCTCCATATAACCAAGCCCACTTTGCATGATGTCACCTATAGTGCTGCTACTGTACACTCAGCTTAATTGCCATGGTTTTGTTCAATCCACAGGTCAACTTTTGGTCAGCCACAAAAACAGACTCCCTCGGCATCATAGCGAAACAATCGAACTTCAGGAGACGATTGAATCTGAAGAGATGCAAGTTATTGTAGTATAGTGTTTTTTTCTTGTGCCAAATGGAGATTTTTTTTGGAAGAAAACTCTTTTGAAGGTATTTTTCCACTAGCAACCTTCAACACAGTCCTGCTCTCTGAGAATATACTTTTAGGTTATTCCTCCCCCCAAAAAAAAAAAGAAAAAGAAGAAAAGAAATGCGAATTTTGAGTAGAACAAAATTTTAGTGTCATAAGGGCAACTGTTGTGGTGTTAATGCGGATGGCATTCTTTGTTTTGAATCGAAAGACGTGATATCAACTTTTTAGTTCATATTTACAATAGCTCCTCTTGAGAAGTTGAAACCGAAACTTTTGTGAAATAAATGTTAACCCACCCCAACAGTAATTAATTTCTGCCCTTTCCTCCCTCCTGTTTTTACCTGTAAACACCTTCTCCCGTGAATCTTACCTCAATCTTGTTTCACAACTCCTTGAGGATAGTAAATGCAAAACCGAACAAGCCATCAGCCATTGCTGAAATGCGGTCTTGTTCATCCATAAATTTTGGTCGCAATTTTCTCATACATCTCTTCACTGTTTGAAGAAAAGATGATTTTGGAGTGACGAGGACTTACGTATACAATTTGGTGTTTGGTGCGTCCCAAGTTCATCAAAAAATATTACTAGCTTGGATAGTGATTTTTTAGATAATGGAAGCTAGGTCGATCCCACGAGAACAGCTAATTATCAAATTCGTTGTTAAAAGACTACCAGTTTAGACAAGGGGTCACTCAGGGGAATGGAAACAGTCACTCAGGGGAATAAAAGCCAGGGGTGTTCATCTTCTGTTCCTAATGCAGTAGTTGTATAATCAGCACTGTCATGGTTAAGTTCTTGTTCATTCAGCTCAATTATAACTCTAAGTCAGTTCCCATTTTTCCTAGAGTCATCTTTGCAACCGTAACAATCTATTTTCCAATGATTGATTCCAGTTATAAAGTCATTAAGATCTCAGGCTTACATGGATGCTCATGTCAACTAAGTATATTCCTATCTTAGTTAAAACCATAGACTGTTACCTCTATGTCATAAGTTGAAGTTGAAACAATCCAAACCAAGTTTATCTTTCCAGATCTCTCTTAGTTCTAACATGCATTCAATTTAGTGATCAAGTAAATGAATATAGAAAAAACTTACAACTTCAAAACAAGAACAGAACCAGTTCATTACAACAACTCTAACATAGGTTGAAGAGATTAACCCCTGGAAGCTACTTAGCTACTCATGCAGATTAATGCTATATCTACTACATCAAAAGACATCATAGAAGTATGCATCATAAAACGAAGTTCAAGTTAACAGTCAAGAGACGAGAAAAAAGCTTGTACAGTTATGAACCACTCCTGAGAGTGAAAGAGTTCACTCATGAAAGGGAGGCAGTGACTGGGATGGCTATTCTTCAACTTACCTTCCTTACTAAGTTGTTGTTGTTCCTTCTTCCTTCTTGCCTTCTTCTGGAGTTTTTTCTGTGTGTTCTTGACAACTGAAAGGTGTAGCCAGAGATGCCCATTTCTGAGAGTGCAGCTCCTTTTTTATAGAGCCCTGAAGCCGGTTCTTCAACCAAGAGAGCCTCCCCATGCTTGTAAATTATTTAATCCTTCCTAGGCCTTGTGTCTAGAATCCAAAATTGACTGGTCTTCTTCTCTTCTTTCAGCAGTGGCAGCAGCAACCTCATTGATCAGCATGAGTGGTTGGAAATTCGGCCAAGGAGACAAGCATGCCTTTGGAATTCTTAGGAGAGACACACTCATTAATGTCAAGGTGCTTTATGTCTTGGGAGTGTTTTTTTCGACCAGCTCAGCAAAATTGTATCCAGCAACCCACAAATTGTTCCTTTGGCCCCAATTTTCAGTAATTGTTCAATCAAGTCCTAACCTAATAAAAACACAAAAACTAGTTAAGTGAAATGCACTAATACTAAGGAATACCCCTAATTTCTTACTAAATTCAGAGTTAATTGTGATGCTTTTATGTAACAAATAAATCATTATCAACTCCCCCAAACTAGAAGAATTGCTTGTTCTCAAGCAAAACAACTAAACTCTTGCTGGCACTTACAGAATTATACATAAGAAACAGGGAAAACAACATTGTCAAAATGACTGAACTGAAGACTGACTTACTTCCCTGAGTGAAGATTCTCACTCAGGCATGTGACACTGAACATAGAAATAACAACACCAACACAAACTGGATAGGGGCTGTCAACCTTTTGTCTCAGATTCAAGTAAAGAAAACATACACTTAAAGACATCAAATCTTTCTGCAATCCAGAGTCAAACAGCAACCTTCACATAAAATTAGAATACATGCCACAAGTGTCAGTTATGCCCAACCTACCAATCCATTCTAAGTTAACCGGTTAAACTTTTGGTGGTCATTCTTGTGATCTGGTCTAGCCCAAGTTACTTTGACTCGATTTATCTACTGAGGCTTCAATCATGGACTTCCTTCACAACTTTTCTGTCTCTCTTTTCTTTTTTTTCTTTTCTTTTTTTTTTCAGATAGACCAACCTACGCCTTTGGGAGGGGTGTTATTCAACCTTATCTCTCCACTGCCTTATACCTCAACCCTTATTACTCCAACAGCTTAGGACTTTTGTGGTGATCCCTTGCTGTTACCCCTAAGGTTTCAGTTGATCCAATATTTTATTTCTTTCTCCTTTTTTTTTTTGAAAAACAAACAAGCTGTGAATGGTTACCACAAAGGAAGTCTCAGGTTTACAGCATTTCTCATCTACTTGTAGCTTAAAACTAGACACATATCACAACAGTGGATTAGTCATACCAAATTTTAGAATTTATGTTCTAGGCAGTCACTTCCACGAGTAGCATTGTTCATATGTGTGAGTGAGTGTCAGCCATTCTTTCACTTCATGCATCAGACTCAGCATCAAAAGTGTTTTAGCAAAAATTTTTCAAAACCATTATCCTCCTAGACTGTTGACAGCTCCTTTTAGAAAATTTTCATTTTATTCCAAAAATTCACAGACTCCATCTAGTCATGAACCTAAGGGGCCTGAATTTAAAACCTGACAACAATACTAATACTACTCTACTACTCCCCCAGACTTATTCTATGCATTGCCCTTATCGCTTAACAAAACAAACTCGGCAAAACACATCAAACAGTAAACAAATAAAAACCACAAAAATTAAAAGAGTTCACTATTTTAACAGAAAAAGTAAATTGCTGATTAGGGGCGTTAGAACAACACTTCCCTGAGTGTTCATGGAGGCATGCCATGGAGTGGATGGGCTGGTGGATCATACGGCAATGGGCAATTTTCAGGGCATCCAATGCACTTGTACATTTCCTGTAGGAATTGCTCAGTCCTCATCTGGCACTGGTGGACATAGTCCAGGATGAACCTGGTCTGCTTGTTGAAATCTCTCTGCCTCAACTGTCCAGCCGGAGTGGGAGTGGATGCTGCTTGTCCTGAGGAAGATGCACCTAGGGGTCTCTGGTCCAACTTATTCAGCCTCAAAGGTTGTTGCAGGCTGCTCTTTGTGTCTGTGTTCAGAAAGGTTACCCCTGCCCTTCTGCAAAGCATGGTAATCATCACTGGGAAGCACCAGCTCTTCACATTGGGATCTGTGATACATCTGGTAAATTGATCCCTGATTACTGACGCCACATCCAGTGGCGTGTTTGTGACAATTGCATACAGTATCATGGCTTGTTCGTAGGTGACCTTGGCAGTGTAGGTTGTTGGCATGAAGTTGCAGCAGATGAAGTGGTGTCATAAATTCAAATAAGGCATTTGCAGGGCATTAGTGTAGAATCCCAAGGGGTTGTCCTCATCGTCCTTCTCCCAATCTATGCCTTCCTTTGCCAGCCTTGATAGAATTGCTTGCTCCAGTGGCTGATTCGGATGTAGGGCAGTGATAGTGTCCCTGTAATCGGTGTTGACTCTTGGCAATTTCCAGATGGCCCTAATAGCTTCTGTGCTGCAATTGACTGATAATCCTCAGACAAAGACTCCATCTCTGGGGGCGGTGGAGAAATTACCGTAAAATTCCTGCACGATCTGGAGCCGGTGCCGGATAAGGGGCCTAGAGAACATCTCCCACCTATGGCGTTTGATGTAGGCGAACGCTTCACCATCCTCACCGATTTCCCTTTCTGTAATGATCTTACGCTTGAGATGTTTCAGCAAGAAATCCCAAGCCTTCTTTCTTGGGAATAGCCTTGGCTCCCATTCGTCTGTGATGGCGTTGAAGGCTTGTTCTTGGAGGGCCCTTGGTGGTTGTGGAGGCGGCTGCGGTGTAGGTTCCCGGTGAGGGGAAGCTTGCCTTTCAGGAGAGGACGAGGATGAGGAGGAGGATATCCGTCTTCTGGTGTTGGAAGCATTTTTGCGGGCAGCAACCTTTCTCCTTGCCGGCGGCATGATTTAGGAACCCTAAATTGAATTGGTAAAGCAATGTGAATTGGGTCTAAATTGAAATTCTGCCTTGGTTACCTGAAATCTCAGAGAAGGGTCAGTGCGTTCACACACGGAAGTGGTATTTGAAGAGTTGGTTCTGGAAGAAGAAGATGAAGAAGACGAAGAAGTGGAGGAGTTCCAATTAAATGCATAACAGTTAAATTTTTGGGAAGTTGTGGATGATCAATGTAGCTTTAAAAACGGACGCGGTTTAATTTGAATTTTGAAAAATTTCTGGAAAAATTCCCCCAAACTTAAACTGTAAAATAGAGTTCAAAAAGGTGAACTCTTGCAGAAAGTGTTGTACAGTTGTCCTTACTCAGGTGAGTGATTTGTCCCACTTGCATGAGTGACGTCAGGGTTTGAATGACTTACATAATCACGTTGCTGTAGGTTCACTCGGCTGAGTGACCTTCTTCACTCCTAGGAGTGAGTTTACCTGAGGCCTTTTTATGTTGCACTTTCTGAAATCCATTGGGGTGACAGATACCTTATCCATTCCTGCAAAATTGGAATAGCACAAAATTAGCCACACAAAAGCAAAA